GCCAAGCGGTGATGTGAGCATTTTACTGTGTTGCAGTTTCGAAGGGTAAGGGTGCTGGTGAAATTACAGGCACATTTGGCTTTTCAACTTATGTCTCAAGGTGATGGGCGCAGTGGAAGTGCCCCTCAAATCTTTGCTACTCTCTATTATTTGCTATCTGTCCTATCACTCCGTATGATAAAAATCAAATTAAAAAAATTAACATTCTTACACTGGCGTCGTATAAATCTCGTTACATAATAAATTTGTACCATGAAAAAATGAATTGGCTATTCCTTATAGTCGTTTGCATTTTAATAAGATTGCTGTAACATTCATAATTTGCCATTTACGATTCGCACCGAACGAGATACGCGGCTTCTGCGCACTTAGATGAAAAAGATCCACAAGAGTTATCCCTTTATCTATAGTTTAAAAATTGTCAGGGTTGCTTCTAGCAAAACCAATTTTAAAATAAATACTGTAAATGACAAATGTGAACAAATCGACTCATCCGAAGAACATTGTCCGATGTGATTATATAGCGAAAAGAGAATAAGTACATTACGAGAATATTTTCGTTATTCAAACTAAGGCCTATGTAAAGGTGTTTTGAGAATTTATATATCTTATTTCGTTTCGGAAATATAAAATCGAACAAAGGTCGATCTGACGTCCACAGCGAAGAAGAACGAACGAAATATACTATGTCCTGAGAACAAGTACACCTTTGTTCTGCGCATGAGTCGAAACATATATTTAAAACGAGCAATCCCTAGAGTTACTTACTCTTCTCAGATAACTCTGCACTACAAATAAGTACCAATGATCTTATTACTTAAAAAAAGATCCTTGTGTTTAACTAATTTGACGATTTCAAGTGTAGTTTGTTTGTTTACCTGTGAAACAAAGATAATGTTGAATTTGAATGTCATATTTTTTTCTAAATAATAACTGAAAATCAATGCTGGGAACGCATTACGTTTTTCAGCAAATACTGAATTTGTGACCATTTTGTTACTGCGGCGTCTGTCTTTTTTTAGTTAGTGTCCTTGTTTATGTGAATAGTTTGTTTTAATTTTATTATTTTTTTACACTTTTTGTTCTGTTCGTGTTTTTGTTTTGTAATTATTTATTTATGTACGTTTTTGCGTTTGAACGTTTTGATTATTTCTTCTGTTTTGAATAATTTATTTCATCTATAACATATTATACTTTTAAATTTTCTACAACAAAAATGCGCTACAACGCGATGGGCCCATAACCTAAACAAAACACATTTTAACAGGATCAGTACCACGTCAACCTTACTGGTGTACGGAGTATGGTGCTGTGCCCGGGACTGACCGACACCGGCCTAGTCAAGGAGATCCGTAAACAGCTCATGTCGTCGGAGTACGAGGCGGCTTGGCAGAGGGATAATGCTAACAGCAAAATGCAGACGTGAGAACGGAAAATTCTTTTCTTTTTGTGGCATTTCACACTCTTAATAATAAACTGTGGTAATTCAAAAAGTAACTTTTGACGAGCTGACAAAAGAAATTTGGTTATTTTTCGAATTACGTAATTTTATTACTGAGTGTGGGAGTTGTCCTTGTTGAAAACACAATAAAACCGGAATAGGATTGTGCCATTCAGAATACAAAGAACATCCGATCTAGGTCATGAACCGATCTTTTAAAGGCACAGACAAAATTTGGGAGAAATCATAAAGGTTCCGAAAAACAAATGAAAATGCAGCCATATGTGGCTAACTGTAATACTAAGCTACGTTAAAATGAGTTACTGAAAATTAAACACAAATTATACCCACAACATTTTGCAAGCCATCAAGGACTTGTCGAAATTACGATTCTACGAAAAAAAAACTGTATTTTCGGACAATATACTAAACTTCCGAAAGAAATATTAAGTTACCGAAAGAACATAGGTATTCATCTATAAAAATGCTTTTCAATCTTCTTAATCGTATCGATGGCATACATTAGGCATATATTCTAATGCTAGCTATCGTGGTACATACAAGAATTTGCCAATTTGCGCAATATAATTGCCGATGATTGTAGCCCAGGGTGCGCCCTACAGACGTACAGGAAAGGTACGTCGTTCGGGGAGGGTCCATTCGTGCACACCTTTTCCAGTGTACAGCTATTATACAGGTATAATTATTGGTTACGATTAATTTGATTCTTGTCGCTCAATAATTCCGTTCTCGGTAGCTTAGTAAATAACGCAGTAATATTCATATTTTGAATAAGCTCATTTTTAATTTTCTTTTCGGAGCTTTTATTACTACCCTAAAATGTGTATGTCGTAACCACAGAGCAAATTCAGAGAGGAGTTGTAATGAGATTTTCCTATGAAACAATGCGTGACACTACACAGGGTAAGGGGATGTTAGGTCCCGTCCGCTCCTATATTTTCCACGTACGTATTGGTAAATAGCAAAAACTACTGGTTAATAACGTTATTACTTCGTAGTTTAACAATCCCACGCTAGATGTCACTATTTAGGATGTGACAGGGACGTACTTAGAAATTTCGTCTAAGGGAATCTACTCCTGTTCTCGTCTGTCTATGGTCTCACCATACCGTCCGACATCAATCCGAAACAATTATTGTCAAATAAGTAATACTCAACCAAATTTAAAGATTCCTCCGTAGTCATGACTATGAGATCAATAGTAGCGCCTTAGCTAATAAAACTTGCAACTGACAACGCGCTTTCTGCTGTAGCAATTGTGGCAAGTTGTCCTTTTTTGCAAAGACTTGTACCATCTAACAGTAGACATTAAGGCTCAATTTACATTGCGGCGGAATGGAATGGAAGCGAATTCTTGTTACGAAATTGTACATAGCAAAATGAACATTATGTTAATTGTGTAATGTACAAACTAGATACCAGGCAAAAAACAAGCCGCGCGCCTTCTCGCGCAGCGAGGCTAAATTGACGCTTCGCGTAATCGTTACAAATGCTTCCCTTTATTTTCAGAGCCGAACACGTCGGACGAGCGTTAATTGATATTCTCGCAAAAGGTCCTAGTGGCTCCGTTTGGATCGTGGAAAACGGACAGCCGCCAAGAGAGTGGCGCGGTTAACTTCAAAATCGACCTGGCAACTGGTTTCTCTTCACCTACAACGCGGAGTTACCAACACATACTACTCATAATGCCTATGTATCTACTTAAGTACAAGTTACTAACATGAAGTTTCGTCATGTATAGAGACTGTAAGTGATATCGATTGTGAACTGGCAATCGGTACTATCTCAATTTTGACAACTTTACAGGTGAAGAAAAAAATTGTTTGCGTCATTTCTATAGGATCTGGTTTATTAAATAAAAACACTTAGTTTTTAAATATTTTTATTACACATGTATGTATGTACACTACCTATTTTTATTTATTAAACCAGATGCTATATAAATGCTTTTTTTCTTCACCTGTAAAGTTGTCAACATTGAGATAGTACCGGTTGCCAGTTACAGTTGATATGTCAACATCGTGGAAAGGCTTCAGATCCAACACTATGGAGATAATTTAACAAATTTATGCTTGAATTTATCCCCAATGGTTATATAGGTAAGTAATGCCCAAAAATATGACGTGGTTGTGTAAATATTTTGTTCTTCGTAGTAATAGACCTCGTATAAGGGAGCGTATTTATATTTTATAAGGAAATATTTTATGAGAAAAAAATGTATAAATCACTAGATCCATAAGCTATGTATTGTGAACCTACGTATTTTTAATCCCGTAATTAATAATACCGTGTATACAAATTACTTACGTATTTTATAAGCACTTTGGATTGAAATGCTTTCAAAAATGAAGTTACAAATGTCAAACATTTTGTTGTTTGTAATGTCATATGATTACATTTTTATGTTTTGATTATGTACTCTACGAATTTATAATTATATTAATGATATCTTTAATGCTTTGTTTTGTATTTTTTATATAAATTTTTGTATGAATTTGTTATGTAATATAATTCTAAATGCTAATAGCTGAGTACAGTATGTACAAGCCTGTTTACTTTGCAATAAATAATAATGAAAAGGTTATTTGTATTCATTATTGAAATGTTTATAATTTTTGAACAGTGGAGTACATGATAAAATTAAACTAACCTTTGGAAGATTTGTAAGTAAATGTATATTTTTCCATATTAATACAATCACCAGGTACAGTTTTTGAGTGACAGATTTTTACAAATAATATAGGTATAATTGTCTTGTCAAAAGTTCAATTTTTTCAAAAATTTTCTCATGGAAAGGACTCAAGGGCTTTAAAAAACTATTTTTATTTTCACAACATATGATTGCAATTTGAGAAGAGAAACTTAAAGAAGTCCTTTTCTAGAACATAGAATAATATACTAAAATTTTTCGATTGATAAAACACTTGGAACTTTTTTGATAAGTTCTCTAGATCAAATGACGGTGCCCACTGACGCTTATTTATTCAAAATACATACGAATTTCAGTTATCATCTACATAATGCAGTCAGTGGCACTGCCTTAAGATCTCCAGCAGTCCTACTATCACATTCATATTCACTATGCACTATTCTAACAATAAAACGACAGTCAATAAAACACCTCAAGTCATTCAATATTACTTTTATCTAGGGCCACAACAATTTCGAGTACATTTCTTTAACCCAGTGATTACATAGAATATTCGATAACTATCTGGCCAGCAGATTTTACTTAAACATTTACTCGAACAATGTGTACAAGCCCGCATATAATTCTGTGTTATGTACTAACACCTAGTAGGACTGCTGTGATATAAAACTATTTCTTGTCATTGCAGTGTTAATAAAAAAAATGGAAGTGCAATGACAAAATAACATGTTCGCATTAGTCTAACCTCCGTTACATCTTTAATAGGCACAAACTGCATGTACAGGTGAGAAGCTTTAGGAAAATATATTATAATTCATTGGGCATGACATAAATAAAGACTCAATTATACTATGCAGGACATCTTACTACATAGCCTCAGTATAATTTACAAGTGGAGGCATTTAGTTCTCACCTTATAGTGGCATTGACATCTGGAATCACATAATTTAGCCTAATATCGTATTTCGGTCGACTTGTGACGTACAATTTAGATGCCAATGCACTGCCCAATTAGCGATTGCACCGCTCACTAACTATACTTACTTTACACTAATGTGAGGGCTGGACGAAGACATTTTGTTCTGTCGCGTACTTACGGGAATTTCCAACTTACTCCTTCCATTATATTGGATACAACACTATCACACCAAAACTATGTCCATCAACTTTTCGACTCGCCACAATGATACTTCCCGCAGACTTTACTTTAAAAACGATTACATTTAACACTTTAATCACCAACACTTTTCCGTTACTTTTCCATTTGTGATTAGTCCTCGCGATAATAAGTTAAGATTCAACATGGTCTCCGTGTTACAGCTCCTCCTACTTCGCTGCAATCAAACAAATAGCTAAATTAGACTTTCAATATGCATAGGACGAACATTTATTCAAGTTCATTAGGTCATGTTTCGTCACACCGTCCTCTAACATAAATGGATGAAACTTGCAACTAATGTAACTTAACTGACAGAAAAAGTTACCTTTCACAGTTTGCTTTAGAATTTCATGTTCTAAAATATGATTATACAAATCATTTAGTTAAGTTCATAAGAGTCAAACGAAAATATTTTCAGTCTCAATTAGCAATGGGAGTTTCAGTTTTAATATCGTCAGGAATAGCGCAAATCGGCGTATGTAGTATTGGTAAGAAGCGCATATCTGCACTAATCCAAATTTCACAGAAGGATTTAACGTTATTACTTTTTATAGGTACGACTTTCGTTTTTGCACAGCAAGCATTATATTATGTTGTCTACGGACTACGGACATAATAGATTCCCGTAAATCACGCTAATTTGGTTGTCAAGAGACATTTGCGCGCATTTGATTTGGCCACTAAATTACCGAAATGGAAACTCATAATCAATGCTAGTTAAGCGTTTGCACTATCCCCGACGATATGCAACTTATTTTAGTTTCAATCAGTTGGATCTAAAATTAGTTATAATGCGTCCCTTTGAGTCACTAGAATACCATGGTGCAAATGAAAGTAGTCGAAGTCACTGGTGTAACAGTGACGTATGGTTATTGGATGCGTGTCTTTATGTTGCTTTGCTTACACCAAGACGTATCTGGCCTGAAGGTCGGAAGAGGGTTTGTAATTGGCACGTCTGGTGGTACAGGACTGAAAACTATGACGTGTAGTTACCAGTAGCAGTGGCGGGCTGCGACTGCGAGTGCTGCGGCATGTTGGGCTGCGGCTGCGCCCGCGGCTGCGAGTGCCTAGGCTGCTGCAGCGGCTGCGGCCCCGCGCGTCCGCGCCCTCCCCCGCGCATCCCTCGCCAGCTGGGGAAGTAGTTCATACTGCCTTTCAGTTCCAACACTGCACTCGGACACACACAATATTTGGCCTATTCTGTCAATCCTGTACTTAAGTAGCAATAGAGCACCTTGTGAAAGATTTCGTCCAGAGATGTACTGCCACCTTGGGTTGGGGCCTACCATAACCTTTCAAAAAACAATCTTATTTCAATGTAAGCTTATAGTAAGCTTATTATAATATTACTCATATTCGTACCATGACGAACCTACCAACCAAGTAATGTATTATTGCTAAAGTGACTGAAAGAACGAATGATGATAAACAATATTGTCTATTCCTTACTAAAAATAGGAAAGAAATAACGCTATATAAACTGTGTAATGCCGTCTCTTCCTTGTTTGATGTTCCGAATCGTCCTATCATATAATGTTAAAGTACTTAATATGATTTAAATTCAGAGAATTTAACTGCCATAAAAACGAAAGTATGTAATAATGAAATCTATTAAAATTCCGTTGTTTTCAATTACTTTTCCGCATTTTCATGATGAAATATAAATAAAACAAGCTGGGTCTTGTCACGTTGTGAATTCGGAATTATAGTCTAGTGTCAACTGTTAGTGTCGCCGGCGCATATCGATGGCGCTGTCATAATTTTACGAAATAAACATCGCGTATTTTTAAGAAAATAAACAAAATATTTAAGAGATATATGTAAATAAATAAGTTCAACTTAACTTTTAAACATTACAAATCAACCTTTAGGCAATCAATTCGAAAATAATATTGTTTCCATTATGTCTGTGTAACTATTTTAAGAGTCGTATTCCAGAACTCTACTCAATGCTCAAGTCAGGATCTGAGTATGATTTCAAGCACTGGAAATCATACTCAAGTCCCTGCCATTAGGGTCGTATTTCCAGTGCTTGTTTCCAGTGCAATCCTCACTTGAACATATCTAGAATACGACCCTAAGTGTTGTATTCTAGAACTCTACTCAATACTCAAGTCAGAACAAGAGTATTGCAGTGAGCACTGAAAATCATACTCAAGTCCTTGCCATTATGGTCGTATTTCCAGTGCTTGAAATCATACTCAACTCTGCTCAAGTCCTGACTTGAGCATTGAGTAGAGTTCTAGAATACGACCCTCAGATTGCTAAATTTGACATAAGAAAAACAATTATTTTACTATTAAAGTCACGTCATAGTATGACCTGAGTGAATGAATAGCCACAAAGCTGCCAATAAAACAACATAGTTCTAACATTAGAATAAGCTTACTTTACGCTCGTCATGGTACGAAATGTCAATGTAAGGTTCAAGTAATACTGTTTTAAGAGGTTGCGGTACGCCCTCTTACCTATTTTTACCGCCAAGCAGTAATGCAAGTTCCAGGTCTGAAGAGTTAAGGGTGCTGGTGAAATTATAGGCACATGGGACTTGTCAGCTTGTGTCTCGGGGTGACTGGCGCGGTGGCAGTGACCATCAGATCTTTGCGATTTAAAGCTTTGAGTGGCATTGCAACTGTTATGGGCAGGCATGTCGCTTGTCGCCTTATGCGTACGACTTGTTCGTCCCGTCACTTGATATTATAAAAGAAAACTTAAAAGGCAAGGTCTAAGTATTTCCGAAGTTTAAAGAACCCACATTTGCGGTTACAACATCCAACATATCTCCGAGAAATTAATCAATCTTATTTATTATAATAGAGCAGTGGCAGCCCTGTAGGAGAATGGTTGCTCATGAATTGAAAGGTCGACGATCTATGAGTTTAACTTCTAAATTACATACATTTGTGAATTTTTACTGATTAAACCTGCATATTGAAGAAGGTTGACAACATTTGGAAAACGTGAAAATCATTGGGCCATGAAGGGGCACTACAGCACAAACCCTGACCTCAGGAGGCCCGTGCACCTCAGTGGGATGTATAATGGATGGAAACGATGATAAGTAAAAAAAGTCGAAACGAACAAAGATTCGAACCTGTTTGAAACATATTTAAATGATTTGAAAAGACCAGTTCCTCTCTTCATAGCAGCAAAAGAGGTAGACTCACGGCTGGTGTTGGGAGTGGGGGTTGTGGGGGTTGTGGAGGTTGTGGCGCCAGTTGGGGCGTCCACGCCACGCACCGCGCCGTGCCATGGCCACGCCGAACGTCTCCGAGTTCAGCTTGCGCTCCGTCCGCCAGTCCGTCCGCTGCGACCGCCCTTTCGACCTGGCGAAATCCACGAGATTTTTAAGGTTTCCTGCATCTTCCTGGACCAAACGAGTTGTTCCAATGGAGCCTGGACGAGTACTCAATGATTTATGAATTTTCCACACATAACTTTATTTGTAATGCTCTAAAAAATTTTTTATTGTGTATTAGAATAGAATTCTTTATTTCAGGCTTAGACTCATATAAATTGTTAGTAACATTGTCACTTATAATAGGTTAATTGATTTGCCCAAATCAGTACTTTAGAATTGGACAATCAAATCTGCCTGCAACTATTTGCACGGTTATTATTGTAATATATATTCTTTCCCTAATCATTGCTATGGTATATTAGCTTACCTCTCAACAGCCTCGCACGAGATGTTGTCAAAGAAGCTCTTGTTCTTGTCATACCCTGAGAAACCGTCCTCCTCGAGCTCCGCCTCTCCGGCACCCGTCTCATTGCCAGAGTCGTCTTTCTTGTCTACTTCGCCCTGCACATATAAATTAACAATTTAAATTCTCAATAGGAGTTATTTTCTTTTGGTTTTGCACACCCGCAATCGTATAATTATTTATTCGAAAAAACAGTGAAGTTATTTAGAAGGAATAGCTTGAAGCAACATTGTTGAAATAGTTCTTGTTTGAGTTTAATTTCGTGCATAAAAACTTTGGTCAGCGCGACCGAAAATAATTATTAAACCCTGACGCAAAAAGAGGGTAGCAGAAGTTTCACGCCTTCAAGTGCATTTGTATATCGTCGCTTATCAGACAAAGTGGAAAAGTGACGATATAACTTTTGAATGTTACTCAAGTTCAAATAAAACGAAAATGCAACTAATTCATATACAATTATATGTCATTCATAAATAGAGCACTTATTACCAATAATACATTAGAAAATCTTATATGCAATAATATTAGTGCAGTCACTCTCCTTTAAAATGACTTCAAATTGTTTGTGCCGTGTTGTTTGTGAAGCGACGATATGTTGTGACATTGTAGGTTACAATTTGTCAGGGATTATTTAACTTTAAAAAAATGAAATCAACTATACACAGAAAAAAAGGAAAAGAAAGAAAGAAACATTTATAGCCAAATAAATGTTTCTTTCTTTCTTTCACAGGGTATATGGACGGAGTAGCAGGTACAAGCAAAAAGAAAGAAAAATAATGAATTACCTCAACCTTCTCGCCATCAGAGATCTTGGTCTTCGCAAGTTGGCTACGCAGCTCCTCGAATTCGGTATTAGCTTGCTCGAAATCGTAGTCATTGTCGAACTTGAGCGTGTTCTTGCTTCCGCGAGGCACGAAGCCGCGTCCGCGTCCGCGTCCACGGCCCCGCCAGCCACCGCGCCCGAATTGCCCTGCCGAGTCTAAGCGTCAGGTGCGGACGTGCTCACACTACTTGCAAATCACAACGGGCACCAGTAGCCAGCAACTTACGTTGCGTGACAGACTGTGAGGGTAGACAAAAAGAATACTACAAAGGAGATCACAACAGTTCTTGGAATGCAGTCAATATGGCACAATAGACTATGTACAGTTCCTTTCAAATATTCCAATAATTTAGATGTTTGTGAGAAGTTCATACATGAATGGACAACATAAAAAAGTTGTATAATATAAAAGTATTACTATAAAGTCTGAGTACGTAATAGTTGTACTGCAGAATAGATATTAATCCATAAAATAAAGCACTTACCAGGTTGATGGTGCTGCTGCTGGTGATGTTGCTGCTGCTGCTGATGGTGCTGTTGCTGATGGTGCTGCTGCTGATGGTGCTGCGGCTGATGGTGCTGCTGCTGATGGTGCTGTTGCTGCGGGTGCTGTTGCTGATGCGGGTGCTGCGGTTGGTGCTGAGGGTGCGGGTGCTGCGGCGCCTGTGCCGGCCCGCCACTGGGGTAGCGTTGGCGGTTGCGCGAGTTGGTGCGGTTGCGCGGCTTGCCGCCGGCGCCGGCCGCGCCTGCGCCCGCGCTGCCTCGCCGGCTGTCGCGTTGCTGCCCTGACCCACTCGCGACCGAACCCACCTGCTTGATTCACGCACGATGTAGAATATGGGACTGCTCATGCCACAGTCCTTAACAAAACTAGTGTTGGTACTGTGCATCCATTGCAAAGTGGTTTGTTGCACACACTTCCAATACAGTGTAGTTATCACAATAATTAGATGTGGATGCATGTTAGATATTTCAATTAATGTTATGTAAAAAGGGTGAGGAAAGGATCATTTACATTACATCATCAAGAGGATATTAAAATATCGCACACAACGTGACAAAAAAATTTTCAGATATTAGCATCAACCAAAAAATGCAATTCACCTGGGTGCCTTGGTCCGCTGTAGGGCTCTTCCTATGGCCGACAGCCGGGGTACCCGATCTCGACGCGTTCTGTTGCGACCCACCTCCAATAAGATCTAACATTGAACCTACAACACAATATAATTCATGAAAATTACTGTTTTCTTTTAATTCTGTGTGGAAATTGACTACGCTTCAGAAGCTTATTATAATTTTTGTTTTAATGTTCCTTTAATATGAATGAAATACAATGCTAAGCCCCAAGGTGTATGATTTCTAAATGATAAAAAGAAACTACACAAAATCATAAAAAGCAAGCACATATAAAAGTCCCAAAAAATTTGTTTACATTTATGTTCTGTGAAAATGTTTATGTTATGTCTGTGTATGTGTGTGTCATTTTAGATATTGCTCGTCAAGCAACAGACCAAGGAACTCAAAAATAACTAAGCATATTGCGATTTCTTTTTTCTGTTAATAGTTGTGTTAGTGCAATTCTCCATTCTTCACTCACTGACGTTAAGTAGTTTTACATTATCCTTAAGTCAGAAGATATTTAAAAATAAATACAATATTTAAAATACAACTATGTAAAGAATATTTAAAACATATAAAATGTATCATTAGCCTGTAGTGTTAGTAGTCATTTAAATTTATAATTCCTGTATTATGTGGAAAAGAAATATATAAATATACAAAGGGGATATATGAAATAAAATAAAGCAAAATATTACAATCAGACACTTATTAAATGAAGATACAGAATACCATCACCGGAATCAAGTAAAAATTAGACTTTTTAGAACAATATCTAATTGTAACATTTAAAATCGCAAAGCAAGTAAGAAGCTAAGCAAAAAAAACTAATTGAAAAAACCTTGGTCTTTCACTTGGTTGACATGGTGTACCACTCCTGAACCGATAGGAGCATTTGCTGGCTGGGGCTGTTGGGCCAGCTCCACCATTTGCAACTCACTGGTCTTATTGAGTGTTGGGTGCACGCCACCTGGGAAGCCAGCCATCGGGTGGTATTGTTGGTATTGCGTTTGGCCCACCACCGGGTGGTTGTACTGCCCTCCAAACTGGGCCGGCGCTGTGCCTCCACCCAGCGTCGGCGGCACCGACATCTGCATGATCGCGGGGTCGTTCGGCAGAGACGGGACATTGTTCAATACCCGAATGTCCTTGATGTCAGACCCACGAAACAATATATAGTCGTACACCTGCGTTTGCGGAGCTACTGGATACTGTGTTTCGCGATCCTCAGTACCGAAAGATCGCACTGAAAAACGAAATAACATTTAACACCTTTACATAATTTCCTGCTACATTTTACTACAAGATAGGTATATTTTACAACCAAACGCGTTGGGCTGTACTTATTTATGAGAGAATAAACGTTATCAACGTCATCAAAGTGAGACCGCGGTCACCTAACCGCGTCCAACATCTTTACATTGAGGGTAGATACAAAACAATGTGCCACGTCTAATAAGATGTTCACTTCGCCTCAAATTGCCGGGAAAATGCGCAGTAACGCAAAGATTACGGTCGCTTTCACAAACAATAAACAAAGATCGGTTTGTAAATGAGAGGGAAACAAGACCAAAGCCTTCTAGAGAGGTCGGCGGCGTTTCTGTGAAATTACCGTTACAGGGTAGAACTACAAGGATAGGGCGATTAATTAGGGGCTCGACAGAGGCGTAAAATATGATAACAGTAGTAGTACTTATGCATTTGTCAACTTACCGCTAGCCAAAGCGATGGTACATTCCTGAGGATCGACGGTGAAAAGTCTGCCTTCATAACGGATGTCAGCTTTCGATATTAGGCTTATTTTGGAGCCCAACTCAGGCATGCCAGAACTCATAGTGTCACTTTAAAAATTAACTCCTGATGACAAAGATTTTTAACGATATTGTCGACCGCAAAAATTCAGCCACCAAACAAAATGACTGACGGAAAGTTCGTACAGAAATTAGCCACAAGCGGCGCGTTTACAAACAGCTGTGCCAAGGAGAAATAGCTCCATAGACAACTACTGTTTTCCTAACCCCGAAGCGCCATCTATTGAAACATCGCACAACTAAAATTAAGATAATGAAATTTCAGACTAAATATTTTGTCAAATACTACTTCGTTGCATCTTCGTTGTTAAAAAGGCAAGCTAAAGAGGTGTGAAGTCTAATGCTCATTTGAAATACGTGTATCTATTACAATGTAATAATATTAGCACAAACAAGCATTAAATATTGTAATACTATACCGGACTATGAAAATTATGCCATTTTCACTATTATCAATATTGTAATTTCATTGTTCATGTATTTCTTATCGTAACATAAGTAGAGCAACAGTTGGCGCTACAAGTTATGGGTCTAACGTAAGTCAATGGGTCTATAGTGTTATCAATCCAATTTTATCATAAACAAGAAGTGGTAGAAGTAGTTCAAGTTCACGCCTATATTCACTTCAATAATAGCTTCTTTATAATGTTATAGTTACTTGCGCCAACCACACAAGTATGCCAGTATTGGCAAAGAATACAGCGCTAGCGTGGCGGTCTGGAGGAAATGGTGTCGTTGTCAAGTTTTCATATCACAGAGACACTGGTGAACTATAACATTCAGTCGATGATGCCAAATCTCTCTCTAACGGCCTATAGTATTGGTGTACTGTCTTTTTTGGCCATTTTTGACAAACTAATACTAAAATGAAGTAAGGACGAAATTTTAATGCATGCCGAATGTTAAAATACCGCAATGATGTTTATGTTTTTGAAATTGGGAAAGTGGTAGAAAGAAATACAAAAAATCAACACTTAACTTGAAAAGTGTATTCATACATTTAAATTAAAAAAAACTATGCGAGCCCGAATTAAAAAATTGCCATCAAACTACCCCGGATTAGAAAGTAAAGAGAAAAGAATAATGGTGGGCAGTTTAGAGATCGATTAATTTTTGTATTATAAAATTTAAACAAATCAACATACTTGTGTATAGTAAAAAAATATAAATGATCGGGTCAACAATATTTATATAGCAGAATGAATATTAAACAGTTAGCAATAATTTCGCATCCTAACCCAAAGAGGATCTAATCACTACGTTGTCCTAACCATTCAAGAAACAATGTTGAACGAAACATTTTTGAAATTATTACTCTTTGGTCACTATTATTATTATTATTATTGTTACTCTTTGTTACATACGAATATATTAAATTACTGAATAACTAGAAAGACAGAACGATACTCTGAAGAAGTATAAACAATAAATAGGCCCATGTCATGGCTCGCTGGCATGTCTTCGGCGATAGTGCCAAACGCTACCAATGTAAACAAAAGTCACAAGTGGATATGCACTTGCTACAGGTGTCAGTCACTGTATCAATGTAAATTGACCGTAATGTCCCGAGTGGCAAATAAACGACTGACAGAGATTTAAATTTTTTCTCATACTTAATAAAATAATATAAAAACGAAGTCTTCAGTGAAGACATAATAATGCTTGACAAAAAACGAATGTGTTGTTTAACTATTCCTTAGAGCATATAACAACTATTCAGTGGGACGCGCTTAAAAAAGTTTTCCTTTGTCGATGACTACAACTGTCAACTGTCGTCCGTTGAGTTTTAATTTTTGGAGAGAAAATACGAAAATAATTGCTATTTTCTGAGTGAAAGAATGTTTACCGGCGAGAAATAATAATAAGGTTGATGTGTTGAATACATTAATGTATACGATTGACGCCTAATGATGGTGGAAAATCCTATAACATCTACGCCTTTGCCTCGGCAAAGTGTAGGCGGGAGTAGTAGTTCCAGTTCAATTCGGAGACGGTCTTTAATTCCCCAAGTACGAGTACCCAGTTCTAAGGACGAGGTAATTTACCTTTATTTGATTGGAAAAACTTAGCTTAAGCTTAAACATATTAATGTGTTAGTGAAGTAGTTATGAGTTGGTGTAATTCATGCATTTGTCATCTTTAATTATAGTTAACTAACCTAACCCTAACTAAAATAAAAACTAAATTGTTATACATAAATAATGCTATTTATAATTAATATTTAAGCCTGCCATCTTAAGCCACAAAATTTTGTTTTAAGTGATTTTTCACTTTGCTTTATTAATTCATATTTTGACATAATTATAAATAGTGAGATTTTTTCTTAATTTTCTTAGGACGTACATGGTGTTTTAGTGGTTTTTAACATGGGCAAACTTATAATATCATAATAATAACGAAATTTGGAAAAGGGATAAGGTGAAAAAATGAATTGGATATCTTAATTGTCAATGTTTATTGAAGTAGTTGTCATGACATGTAGATACAATCGTGTATTGTATCTATATCAACTTGAGACATGCATTACTCCAAATTATAATATTACAAAATCGTATTTCTATTATTGTTTTCAGGACCGCAATGATGATGATGCTGAACGATCATCCCTACTGGCCTCAGAGCGAGCAGTCGCGACGTCTACACCAAACCTTTCATCACCAAAACGGCCCAGGGAGACCATGTCTTCCTCACCACAGAAAGAACATTTTCAAGGATGTCTGAAGCTCTTTGCTGAAAATGTTTGTACTTTTGTGTTAAAAGAGTAACATACTATGACATAAAATACTGAATAAAATATTACTTCAGGTTCACGCATAACAAATCCTTTTCACATATTTCTTTTTAAATTGCATTAATTAAAGGCATAATATATGAGAAATCACATACAAGCATTATCGACTTCCTTGTAAAATATGTAAAGTTACTTCAGTCACTTGTCTATCGCAATCTATCTTAATCAATTAACTGGCAATATAAAGTTAGTATGAACTGAAATATGTTAAGGTTAGAGGTCAATTTAAAGAATTTTCTTTTTTATTTATTACTTAAATTTACCTACAATTTACCTTACAGAAAATAAACAAAGACAACGCATGGAACCTTCAGCTAATAGATTTCATGTCTTCAATGCTGCGCCGTCATGACGCGCGAATGGAGAACCTACAGACTGCTTCAACTGTTGTTGATGCTTCTGCCAGAATTTACTCCTTCAGGGTTGACGCTGTGCATTTTGATGTCTTGAAGATGGCTGGGGGATTGAGTAAGGCAGCCCAGGTAATTTTCAGTCAGGAGATGCTACAAATGTGAAATAATTTTCGTATGAATATGGCTTCTCAAAGCTATATTAGACAAATCCACAATGTTATTATGAACCCATAGGTATTTAGATATAATACATATATTCAAAATAGAGTCATCTGACCTTATTTCCTACAATATGTTAAAATAATGGTTTAAGTTTAGACCTAGAATCATTTACAACACTCACTGTGTCCTAATGATAAAGAAGTGCGAAGGAAACACTGTGCGCTAAATCTAGTGGTACCTAGGATAGAACTTTGTGTTAGAAGTTATAGCAAGACTGAACATTGTGATAAGCAGTACCAAGTAGCAGATATAGGCATACAAATAGTAGGTGCTAAGAATAGAATTAGGTATCCCGAACAGGAAACACCCACAATGTTGGAACAGTAGCATGGAACTTCATTTATTTATACATTTTTTACACTTTTACAATGTTCTTCAATGTTCCAGTATTTGCAATCTCTATCCATAATTTTCCCTCGTAGACTAAACGAGGCAAGAAAGACGACGACGGGGCGATGCAAGAAGAAGGTGCGGTGGACGGGGAGCATGCGGCTGCGCCGCTTAAAAAGAAGAAAAAGCGCTCCAGGGGAGCTATTGCCAACAACCCTGATACTTTGAATGGAGAGTTTGATGTTAACGATTGCTTAGGTCTGTATGTCACATTATTATTACTAGAATGTCGTGGTAGCCTAATGGATTGTCCTACCGCTTCTTAAGCAGATGGTCATGTATATGTATGGAGCCAACATTGTGTTTTCTTCTTTTCTGAAGAAAAGCTGCATTAAAGCCTATATTCTTGTGTGTTCTAAGAACAATCTGAAGAATATATAATTTACGTACTGTAACTTATGGATCATACCTTGTAGTGCAAAAATTACTTGTAAAAATATATGTTTCATTGTTGCTTGAAAGTGTTTGTTTCCTTTTATGAATCTGGTTTTTATTTTTAGATCCGTTTTTTGAACGGCTTGCCGCCACTACGGGGGACGTGACGTCGTCGAATAGAGCTTTCAACGCCACTCTGCCCGTACATGACAAAACTTTGGGACTTATATTAAGGTTGTATTCTCGAAGCAAAATAATTTCAAAAATCCTTTACTTAATCGAGAATTTAAAAAACAGAAAAAAATTAACATTTTTGAAATGCTAGAAAGCAGTGAACAGAAGATATCTAACTGTAATAATACACACACGTACTGTCACGCCTGCCTCTTTCTGAAGTAGACAGATACTACGGACCTCGACTTTTTACTACAATGTATGTGTTATTTAGAAAAGGTGTAAGCGACATTTCATAGATTGTTCAGGGCAGTATGTTTTTAGTATAAACGACTGTTTTAAAATGTTTACGTCCTATTTTAAAACTTGAACTTAATTACAACCAAAATTAAGGAACCTTTTTCTGTAATATTAAGGCATTTCCTCTAGAAAAGTTATGTTGTAATTTAAAACTTCTACCAATTTTTTTTTTAGAACTGACAACCAATTCTTAGAGTCTATAAAGGAAAATATACCAGAAGACATAGAGCTAACTGATCGCATTGCATTGGCTACCAAGTTGTTGCCAGTTTTCAATGATACCGACCAGATATGTGAACCGTTTACTGGCTTCTCTATTAGCAACTGGGATCCAGAGACTGAGGACACGTATGTATTAAACTCAATTCTTACTACTACAGTATTTTAATTATATTATTACCATCATAAAGCTATTATAAATCCCAGATCACCTCTAAGTTCCTGCGGCATTGGCGGGATGGCATGACAAGGAATCCTTCAACATTCCCACGCATCGTACTCGCGTTTAGCCTCTATTCGGATCTGTCGTAGCATTTCGAAGCAGTAGAGCTCCTTGTTGTAATGGCATTGAAATAATAGAAAGTCACATAGTGGAGAAATGCATCAGCAAAAGAATATACATAATATATATACATAATATTATTGTAAAAATAGGCATATAGATGAATCTCTAAATTTATATCTATGAGCACGCAAAACCAGTATCATCTTCTACATCTAGTACCAGGTGGTCGCATAAGGCCGCATAAGCGCTGGGGTGGACGGATTTATTAAAGGCTTTGTGTTATTTATACAGAGATGCCCGTGTGAACAACTGGGTTGAAGAAAATAGACTAAACCTGTCGCAGCAAGCGCTCGCGTTCGACGTCAACGCTGAGGTCGAACCTATTCCACAGGATGAGGAGCATAACGATCTGTTCGGTGAGGGGTCTTTTTCGAGTGGTTGAAATTTGGTTTCTAAGCATAACCAATGTGAACTTCTGTTTAAATATAGTCATATAAGATTTGATTAAGCTTTGAAATGTATCGGTTATGGCTCGTTTACACTAGGTCGACAGGTTGCCTACGCTGGTTACTCAGTGTAAACACTGAGACATCTGACCCTGCCGAAGTCAGTCAAGTCGATTATGTGTAATCATTGTCGACTCGGTCGCCTTCGGCAAGCCGCATTCGATCAAACAAGTTTCAATATGACGGCGGTCGCATTCCAGCACGATGCGCGCGGAGTTGACTCAATGTAAACTAGTTGATTGCACCGCCTTCGGCAAGCGAAGTAGCCTGGCGAAAGACGACTCTGTGTAAACACGCCGTTAGATTATAAACGACCGACTAGAATTCATTTTCATTTCTTTGTGTTAATAAGACCTCATGAATAGTTTCATCGTTCCATCCATTCGTTACAAATTTCTCAAGCAATGACTTTGTGGTCCTACTTTCTGCATTTTCGAACAATGAATTCAAAGCAAACTGCAATATTAGACATCACATGCGTTGCTCTGATCCCAAACTAAGTAGCTAAAGCACTTGTCTTATGGAAATCGGAAACAACGACAATACCACAAACGCCCAGACCCGTGACAATATAGAAAAGTTGTTTTCTACATTTACTCGGCCGGGGATTGAACCCGGGACCTCAGAGATGGCGACACCATGAAAACCGGTGTGCAAGCCACTCGACCACAGAGGCCGTCAAAAATTCGAGATTCTTCAAAAAAAATTCGAGGTGTTTACTAAGTTCTCCAAAAAAGAAGCGAGTATATTGCAGCGGAATAAGGTTTACTTTCGTTTCTTGCACAAAAAAATGATTAAAATAAGGTACTTTTCCACAATTTTCGATGTTTTGCGCGAGATAATTGACACGACCATAACGTACAAAGCGAAAATGGCGAACTGAGCTCGAAGTTTGCAGTACTCCGCGAGCTGTTGGCACACGTATCACGCAAACTAAGCACTTCTTCTGTATTTATTCTTATTTTCATTTCATTGTGTTAATAAGGCCCCATGAATGGTTCCTATCTTATTGATCGTCATCAATAAGAGGAAACGGCCACGAGCAAGTACATGTACAAATATATCCACACATGTACATGGGTTGCGCGTGTTTACACACGGTGCAGCGTTACCGTGTACACGGGCCTTAAAACACTTAATTACCTTGTCGCACTGCATCCGCTTCTTATTCGTCCCGAATTGGAGACTATACAAATAGAACACTCGGACACACTTCGAATGTCGCTTGTACCTACATCTAAAGATAAAATGATCCCTGTGACATTTTGGACTTCTTTCCTCGGACTTGGAACTGGGGGTCTACTCTCGATCTCCGTCCGACAGCCGTCCGAAACAGTTACTTTCAAATAAGTAATATTCGACAAAATTAAAAGACAAGTATCAAGTATGAAGCTTCATTCGCATCACGCGTCTTTTCATTTGGTCAAGTATTGCTTATTTGGCAGTAATTGTTTCGGACGGAGATCGAGAGTAGACCCCCAGATACGAATCGGACGTAGTGCGTAAGCGCTCTAAATTCCCATCTATTTACATAGAGAGACATTCCTCAGAATGGCGAATCACAAATTCACAAGAAACTTTTTCTGTCTCAACAGAATCGAAAATCGCAATTCCATGTGGGCGATAATTGCCACGCCGTTGATTATCGAATGTCGCCGTGTAAACATAATCAATGACCGAAATCGCTTGGCCAATCTCGCACTCGACTGATTTGTACGATACTAATGTGAACTTGAAAAAATGTCATACGAGAATGTGTTTATACAATCGGAGAACTCGTAAGCAAAAATCTCACCATGTATTTCGCCATATAAACAGTCGCTGTAGGCGATAAGTTACTTGCGAATCTCGTATGACATAATCGTAGATGAGATTTTAGTTCTTGCATGTATGTAAACATTATGCTACCATAATCTTAATGACGATTATTGCTTGCGACAATAGTGTATTATTTCTCGCCACGAAGCGTGCGATAAACTCTCTCCATCTAAATGGCCCGTTATGATTAATTATATAATCTAGTAGCAATAGAGCTCCTTGTGAAAGAGTTCGCCTAGGGTAGTACTGCCACCTTACCTATTTCTACCGCCAAGCAGTAATCTCAGCATTACTGTGTTCCGGTTTTGAAGGGTAAGTAAGGGTGCTGGTGAATTATAGGCACATGTTACTTGTCAACTTATGTCTGTCTTACAGTAGCGAGGTGTGAAAATTGTCTAGTAAAGCCAGAGCAAAACAAAGAACTTGCCTTAACTAACTTATTGGCACACAAGATACTAGTACAATTTATTTCACTGATTAATTATTCTACATGTAAAATTAAGCACAAAATGTAGTAAATTATTTTAAAATATTTATGATACTTGATGATACGTGGGAAATTTTAGGCCAGTCAATGGGAATCGAGTTCTATGGACGCCTCGCCACTGCTGTGTTATTAGTGGCACTGCAACTATGGACAGGCGTGTCGCTTACCATCAGGCGCACGACTTGTTCGTCCCGTCAGCGTCACTTGATATTATGAAAACAAAAATATTAATAAAATGTATTTTATACGACAACGTAGAGGACGAGCCCCTAGGCGGTATCGAGAGCGATGAAGAAGCGGACGTGGCCGTAGCGGCGTGCGTGGCCCGTCTTCCGCCGGCACCCGTAGCACGGCTGACAGACATGCGCCCGGCGGGGGCGCAAGACACGAGACTCGAGTACTCCTACTGCGGCGCCATCGTGGCCGCCTGGGCTGGCCCCTCGCATTGGCGCTTGAAAAACAATAGAGGTGAGTTTTGTTTTCTGCAACCTGTGTATTATACCATACGATGACTTCGTAAACACTTAGCACTCTAAGCTAGGAATGCATTTATGAAGATCGATTCATTTGAATACAATCTAAGCGATTCTTTTAATCGATTCATTTGATTGCTATTTTTAAGCGAATCGATTCAATATTAAGGCGATTCGAGTCGTCTAGATCGTATTCATAATTTATACTAAAGTCGTATTAAAGATTTCGTCAAGTACAGAAACGGAAGATGAAAAAAAGAAGGTAACCTATCACAAACTCGAATTTATTTTCTCCGAAATAACGTTTATTCGAATTTTCATTACACCGAAAACCGAACTATAACGAAACTGTTGTTCTTTCAGAAAATGTTGGATGTTTATCGCAAAAACATGATTAGGTTCGGTTAAGTTAGGTTTAAAAGAAAAAACATTTTACTCTCAAAATTACTTTCGACGTTTATGAAAATTCGAACAAACGAAAAATTTTCTGAAAAATGTCATTTCGGAATTCTGATAGGTAACCAGAAAAGGCCCATGCCTTGGACATTAAATTATATGATATTATTATTGAATAGTTTAGTTAGATGTAATGGATTGGTATCTGTGAAAAGCAAAAAAAAGTATTTTCATATTATGGCAATGAAATCATGTAATAAAGGTGTGTAATTAAATTATTACAAATTTTGAAACAATTTTTGTAAGATCGATTGAAGAGCGTACGATCCGATCCGTGGATCGATTTAGAGTCATATGATCCATTACGACCCAGAAATCGATTCGCAGCAAAAACTCGTGCATCCCTACTCTAGGCGCTAGATGAGAACGTCCTGCAGGCTTAGCATGAAGGGAAATGGACAAAACTTAAGCGCGTCGATATCTCTCTCTTCTCTACCGATTATGTCTCACCTCCGAGCACGACGTAACAGGAAGAGAAACTCTCTACCGTAGACAAAGTTTTCTCTGCTCATACTTTCTGTCTTCTGCCCCAAACGTAGTAGAGATATTTCACTACGACAATCTGTGAAAAGTATACAAAATTTAGCTGTCGTGCTATGGTTGGAGGGAAATTGTCTTCATTTGACATTTGTATGCGCGACATTAACTCATGGCGCTTATTCTGGCGTCTGTAGTCATAACTCGCAGTGACGTCATTTTCGAGGGAAAATTGACAGTTCGAAGAAGAGATAAGTTTTGTCTTCGGGCTCATGCTAGGCCTGCTGGGTACGGTTGGCTTTAGGAACACATCATATCACATACTGTCGTCGGCTAAATTCGTAAACCGCATAACTGCCTTTAATGTGAACGTTTGAGTAGACACAAAAAACAGAATTACTAGAAATAATTATATGACAACAACAAAAAACAAATTTATTTTATACCTAAAAGCGGATCTACAAATTATATTTTAAGCTATAATGGCCTGGCTTCGACTGAAAATTACTTGAACACAAGAGTAATGGAGTAGCCTTTATCGTAAATATTAATTAATTTTTATATATATTATTATGTCGAATTTTGCACAAATTCACTTAAAGAAATAATAAAGAGTTAGGCTGATACATACATACAAATATTACTATAAATATGAAAATAAGCGTGTACTATAAGAAATGCACCGATATTCCAACTAAACGTAAACTCAAATATCCGTAATTCCGAAAACCGATTTATAATAAAACCGTTACGCTTTCGAGTAATTTTGATGCTTTTCACAAAGACAAAATTAGCTTTTGTTTTGTAATCAACCTAAAAATACATTTGACATTGTTAAAATTCGAGCTAACGTTATTTCGAGCAAATGTATTTTCTGACTTCTGATAGGTATGACGTTTAATAAAAAATCAATTTAAAAATTAGATTAAAATCAAAGAGACTCTATGGTTTCTTTGTTCTAAATATATCAATCGCTTGGGGTTCGAACAATTGAAAATGACTAAGAAGTTTATATAAGCTTCTTCAAATTGACGTAATGGATCTCTTTGCATCTTTTGCGCATGCAATGTGTAGAAAAAGGACAGTTAGCTATTTGATTATTTTGTGTGCTGTTGTAATTTATATTTACGATTCATGTATGTAAATTAAATACAAAATGCAAATATGTACAAAATAACACTTAAATGAGAACTATGATAACACAATATATTTGTTTAGTGAAAATATGATGCAAAATTATGTTTTTACACTTTACTGCAGTAATTTTTACAAGTTATTATTATCATATAATAATAATAATATTTTAATATTAGTTTTAATTATTATTATTAGTTTTAATATTAAAGTTATTTAATATTATTATTATACAGTTTAAAATAAATACAATAATAATAAAATTTATTTATTGAGACAACTGAGATCCAATCAAATGTTAGTAGGTACAGACTTGAAACTATATTAGTACTTATATTTTGCCAGGGACTTTGTATTATTATTAAGTGCCGCATAATTGGGCACTCATTCCTGTCAGGAACTGTCTTCAGGAGGCTATTGGGGCTGTCACGTATTCTCTTCAGTAGCGACGCCGACTTTTTACGTACAACAGCCGTAAAACTATCTACGCGCACGTCAGTGAACAAGGCTGAGGCACTGCAGAAACGTGTCAGCCCCAACAGCGTCTTGAAGGCGTTGTTGTATTGCACGCACAGAGCATTCCGAGAGCATTGAGTGTAGCTCCTCCACAGAGCGCTAGCGTACTTTGGTGTGCAGTAAGCTTTAAACAATGTTATCTTAACTGCAGCCGTACATCTGGCGAACCTGCGGGCAAGCATGTTTGCTCTCAACGAGAGTGCTCTCCGTTCGCGCTGTATATTCAGGTCATCCTTGAGGTCATCGGTAACATAGTGTCCCAAGTATTTAAAGTGGCTAACCCTTTTTAACGGAGAATCATTAAGTAATACAGGAAGTGCACGCATAGGACTCTTCCTACGGCGGCTCCAAAGATTCTAAACTCCGACTTTTTAACATTATATAACAAGCCATGGGATGTTGCATATGACTCACATACTCCAATTAGTTTTCTCAATGCACTGATCGATGGCGCCAGCAGCACCATATCATCGGCATAGCTAATGTTGTTTAAACAAATTCGTCAACAAAGCAGCCCACATGCGTGCTGCTGAGTTCACCTATCAGTGCATTGACGTACAAATTGAATAATCTAGGAGATGTTAGTCCACCCTGCCTAACCCCACATTCCAAGTTATACGGCTCCGAAAATTTGTCCGCCCACCTTACAACGTTCGTTTGATTCCGGTACCAACAACTAAAAACGTTCGTTAGCTCCACAGGCATACCCGTGGCACTTAGTTTATACCACAGGATGTCGTAGGAGACCAAATCAAAGGCATTGGACAGGTCCAAGAAACACGCGTATACTGATGTCTTTTTATTAGTATAGTATCCGACAGCATGCTTCAATGTCACAATAGCAGTTTCAGTGGATAAGCCTGTCTGAAAACCAAACTGCGATTCGTGCACTTGCAAATGTTTTTCTAAGTGTGAATTGAGCACACTGTCAAATATCTTGGACATTATAGTAGCAAGAGAGATTGGCCTATAGTTAGACCTGTCGGACATGTCACCTGTCCTGTTCTTAGCTATTGGTACCACAATCGTTCTCATTAAGTCGAATGACAAATATGAATGTCCCAAACACAAATTAAACAGCAATGCAAGGATCCTGGGTACATGGAAGCCTGCGTAAATTAAGTGCTCAACGCTGAGACCGTCGTGTCCCGGTGATTTTCATTTCTTTATTGAAAGTAAAGCAACACGGACGTCACTTGCTTTAATTAAGGTTGGCACCGATCCACGACCGGACTCCGCGCCGAACACGGATCGAGAGAGCCCCAGAGGTGACTTAACAGTAAAATGCTGTCTGAAAAGATTTGCAATTCCCCGCTCATCAGTCACATCGCCAACGTTCACGGGGAGGCCTTTAGGTCCGCTTAATTTGTTGGCTGACTTCCAGAAATTACGGAAATCAGACTTAGAGTGATGTGACGCAAGTTTATCCATTTTAATTTGGTCTTGGTCATTTTGACACTTAAGTGAAGCAGGCTTAAGTGAAGCCTGCCTTTAAAAATACGTTTGGCTTGAACCATATCGTCATAGACTAGTCCAGACCAAGGACAACCGTACCACTCCCTCTTCATAAACTTGGCCTTGGCATTATATGGTACTGCATGATTGACAACCGCGCTGTCAGTCGAACAAACTAAGACTGTTGCGCGATTGACGATCTGTGTGCGATTTTAACGCCTTATAGGTGCGGACACTTTTTAGTGCGAACCCGACGTCCATTTATTGGTAGGTCAATGAATTTTCTTTCTTTTTTTTGTTGGAAAGAGGGTACCTTAGAAGTGGTTCCATTTAAATTTGAAGAAAATATTTCACCTCAAAGGGTGGCAAACTAGGGGATGAATTCAGTTTCGCGCACTTTCCGGTGACCGATTTCAATAAAACTTGGCAAATAGTTGTAATTTAACGAACTTTTGAGGTCAGTTTTTTTTATAAAAAAGTTATAATTATTTAATTGTTGTTTGTTTAATGGAAGACTTCAGTGGTTCAATGATTTGCATTGTAATCAGTAGTTGAAGAAGTTCCGGATTCGATTCCCGGTAGGACCAATTACGGGAATGTGCTTTTTAAAATAGGTTCTGCTCGGAGTGTACTGGGTAGTGCCTCTGAAGATGATTTTGTCATGACGCTCATAATACAGGGGATTACCGGGTTTGAGTCCATGTAACTGAATTGGTTGTCTAGGACATTATTATTACAATATTAATTAAAACCATCAAACTTATATTGAATATCAAATCATTATTTTTATTCCCAGCATCAAAAATGTCCGAACGCACCCAATCAACAGCAGGCCGCCTAACAGAAGACGGCACGAATAAGAAACCACCACGCACGAAGCGACAACTTGACTTTCTGAACGCTGGGATGGCGTTTGACTCCTGCGCAGAGCCTAGTGGCGATTACGAACCTGCGCAACCCGCCAAGATCATGATCAGTCGGAAAACGTTGGCTACTGGACATACGTGGAATGAGGCGAACTTTAAGACGCCTATTGATAGGTGAGACCTTAAGGCCCAATTTACAGTGCCGCGAATTTTAGTAACCATAGCATAATGAACTTAATGTCAACTGAGTAACGTACAAACTAGATCATCTACAACCCATTTATGCCCGCCTTCCACTACGAAAGGGTTTCACTGAATATAGGTATTCGCCTTCCATTGCCAACGGGCTAAGCAGAGTGAGCCAAGGGGGAAATTAAATGGGTTAGATGAGCGAGTTCTTTGCCTTCCATAGCGAGCGGGCTTACCGGAGTGAGCTGGCCGGTGGTAAAAATCAGTTTCAGTTTTTGTTTTGTGTAAATAAAATCACTTTTAATGTTTTAAGACATAGTAAACGCTATGAATTTAATATCATCCCATTTTCTGCATCCTCTCTAATTAATAATGTAGGGAAAAAAGGGGGAATAATGTAGGAAAGTTCTAATGTTAAAATATCACAAATTGCTTTCCTTCTAAGCACGTTAAGTCCCTATGTATTGCCATTGCGGAGTCCTTTCAAAACTAGTGCGGCGCACAATGACACAGCGGACCTATCTTAACTCGCCGTAATGGAAGCACTTCTAGGAAATTTACCGTTGCGAATCATGGAACCTCGCTCAACTCTGCGAGCTCTTTCGTAACTCATTCAAGTCGCTCAACCCACTCCGCTCATTCGTTTGCGTTGGAAGCACTTCTATAAAGTTTACCGTTGTGAATCAAATGGAGTCCGTACGGAGCCCGCTCCGCTCACAGTGGAAGGCGGGCATTAAACAGATCGCGTCTCTGGAATTTTCGCAGCTACCGTATCGTATCTTTAGTCTGTCTGAATGTTACAACGTTCTAATGATTACTACTAATATTGTCTTTATTATTCTAATGACCCGTTTACACGGGGCCAATTGACGAACATTCCACAAAGCCAAACCATTAAACTCGTCTAGTTCGAAATTCGCAACGTCCATCAACATTACAGCCAGTATTGCTATGTTTCTTTACTAAACGTCAAGGCAAACTAGTGAACTGGCTCAGAATGCACGTACACACAAAGCCATTATATGAGCCAATTCAATGCACGTGTGGCGAGGGAAGGTATTGGGCGGAAAAATTTGAAATCGTTCTAATTTAGTGGATTGTCTTTATCACTAGTCTGGAGACACTCCATAATGGATTGGCTTAATGGAATGCCTCGTCGATTGGCCCCGTATAAATGGTCCTTGGCAGTTAACCTACTAGCATCGAAATCAATTTCTACTTATATACATTTTAATAACGACAAGCGAATTTGATTATCTATATTAAATTTAAATGAAAAGCTTTATAAATATATCCCCTCTTTGTATTTTTAATATACATAATTCGAAATGTAGTGCATGTATGTATGAATTTACAAAAATTAACAATTCAAATGAACCTTTGCCGTTGGACCAATAATGGGGCGATGATGGTTGAAATGAAGCAATTTCAGCTACTTATTGCATAAACGTGACTATCATGCTATGTGACTATCGACTAGTTGTTAAAATGTTTATCGACTGCAATCACTACCTGCTCGCAAGCGGGTAACACTTTTGCGCAATGAACCGTCATTTTACTCCATCTTCAAAAAAAGATAGACTACAGTTTGTACGTTACACATTGGACATAAAGTTCATACTGCTATGTAAAAGTTCGCTTCCAATTTAAATTGAGCTTATATCAAACTACCTTCGACATTTAATAAAGTTTAATCTCATAAGAATTTACAATTCACTTAAATGAGATCTGAGGGACTATGAGTATATTAATAATAAATGCTGTTTTTCCAACAAATAATATTGCTTATCATACAAATAATAGAATTAAGCTAGTATAAAAACACACATCCAACTATTACAATATCTCGTTTTAATAAAACAATATGACAGAGTCTAATTATAATAGTGTAGTGTATAATGTAATAGGTAAGACGGAATGCTTTTTTCTCGCTCTGTTTTTCGCATCGTTTAACGCCAATGAACGCCGAAATTATTTAAATCGCTCCATATCCGTGGGCGACATTGTCATATGGTGAGGGTAATTGAATATTTTTTAATTACTCGTGTTTACAGTTACCCCATCTATTTCACTAATTTGTACAGAACACGACTACGGCACTATACTGTCCTGAAACTTTTGTAACAGGGGTCTGGACGAGTCACATTTCCGTAAGCTGTTCCTCCGACGCAACGTGCTGATGCTACGCAAACGCGACTTGGAGCAAAGCAAACCCGAACTTCCCGCCGCGCCTGAACCGCTCGCCGTTGAGGAGATACGCGACTACGATTACAATAACGAGAATGATGCATCGTATTGCGTTAACAACGCTGCAGTAAGTCATTATTACGTTCGATTGAAATAAGTACTTATTCTAAACTTTACATCGAAATTTTTGTTATTAATAAATAATATACATAGAGCGTGAATTTAATCGTACACGCACACATACACAATCACGCACATACTTGCACGAGTACACACACGCACGAACGCACGCACGCGCGCTCACACACACACACACACACACACACACACACACACACAACCCATTAATAAAGAAACATCAAATGTGTGCTGTAGCAACAAAAGTGTGGGTATATAGTGCTTTTGTGTTATACATATACTCGTGTAGCGTTTTGGGTTTACTGTTTCCATTTAAAGTTATCCTGTGAAATAACTGCACATATTTTACCTTCATGTTACCTTCGCGTAACATGGAAGAGATAATTATATAGCAATAAGCTCAGTGTGTTTCTGTATTTTATGTGCTATGAAGATTGTATTGTATTGTAACACTACAGGACGTAGACGAATGGGGCAACGAAGACGCTACTGCTGCAGGAGAGCTGCATGATCAAATTAAAGCAGCCGAGCCAGAGGAAATCGGGGACATGATCGAACCTCCAACGAAGGTAACATTAAATTTTGTTTACATGAGTTTAAAACTTTGAACTGTACAATGAACGAGACTTACGTAGCCATGAATTTTTGACAGCCAGCGCCCAAGGGCGTTTAGTTCTGATTACTTATCCATATTAAAGAAAATAAAAGTTACGCAACAAAGCCTCGCTTTCATGTTCGGCATACTCCTGAATATGAAATTTAATTTCTCCAATCGACAACACGAATATTGACGAAAATTCCAAGTAAACACGTGTATTATTTGTTTCAGATTGCTAAAATCTTTATACCTTACGCGATGCGTGCGAAAAAGGTAGACATGAAGCAATTAAAACACTACACATGGAAAATGCTTATAGAAAATACACCCGAAGGCGAAAAAGAAGACATTACGCCAACAACATTCTTCAACGTTTATTCACGTTTACCGAATAAACTTTCAAGTAATATGCGTGAGTCTCTCAGTGTGCCTTTAGCCTTATTATCGGTGTTACATTTGGCTAACGAAAAAGGTTTAGTTTTGGAGAAAAGGGAGGATCTCAAAGACATTGGTATTGTTGGTCTTATAAAATAAGAATAGTTTTAATTATAATGTATGACCAGTAGGCTGGCGTAATTAATTTTTTATATGGTGTGACTTTTAACCCTTGTAAAGATATGATACTTTTAAAAGAATCCTTACCACTTTGTTAAGATGCAGATATTTTCATTCAACCTTCATTATAGTCCTGCATAGTACAGGTCAATCAGAATCACGGCACAAAAATAGAAAGAAAATATCGATTTCATATGGTAATCTATATTTGATGTGTCAGTTTGAATATTTTCTTGTAATTATATAATAACTTGACGCGACGCGACGGTGTGCAGTGGACCCTGGATAAGGAGGCTCCGTTCGATTATCGGTAGGATCGAGTTGGGAAAATTGTTTCTGATCCGGGTGTACTCGGTAAAGCCTCGCAGGGAATTTTGTTGTACTGGTATTAACATTACAGGGTATGCCATAATTTGAGACCAGGCAATTGATTTGGTAGTCTGGCAATAGTTTTTAATTTCCCGATGTCAAGATCAATTTCTCCATTTGCTATGAGATTCTGGATTGACGTGAGGGCATGATGCTTATATGATGGAACAACAAACAAACACTTTATAGAAATTTATGCCCTATTTTGTAAACTTTGTTTCCGTGACTTTAATGTTTTATCGTGACCAGTATCAACATTCTTTGTGAATATTTATATTGACACGCCTGGCGTGTCCATCTTTCAAAGTGACCTTGCTGTATGAAAAGTGACGAATAACTTTCGTAACTTTTCCCTGAACCTTGTAATTGATAGCAGTCTTAAAGTAAAAAAAGAAATTCGAAGAGGATCCCTCGCTGTTACAATAGAATGCTGTGCATAAAAAATGTACATAATGAATTTGATAACAATCTTCATATTTGTTGATGATTTCGCGTCCATAACATTGTATAGATGTTTTCTAAGAACATTTATTTTTGTAATTATTTTGCAATTAATAAACTATTTTAGTAAGATTGATTGTCTCATTTGAATACTTCACCTATTTTTGAACTAAAAAAAGTAAATGAAATTCCTTATATATTATACAGAACTTTATATTTCTAAAAACAAAATAAACATTTCACAAACATAACTAATTTGTGTGGAAAAAATAATCGGTCGTGTAACATAGTGACTAACTGTAACATGTGAATAAGGGAAAGAAAGAGCCCATTTGTCTGAAATATTCCCATAGCTTATGTACTATTTTCATTCTGAAGTGATTTTTTTCTTGAGTTTTCTTTAATATTGTTCATTGTTACGTAGAAGGTAAAATATGTTATTTGTTTTAGAATAACAAATAAAAATCCTACCTAAAACAAAAAAATTAACAAAATAAATTAAGTATTCGTTAGGACGACACTGAAATACAACATACACACTGTTTGGCAATTAACTGGATATGGAAAAAATGTGACACTATCTTTTGATTCTAAACTGCATTGTCTTGAAATTTGTAGCACGGGACATGGTTTCACTCTTAATTTAGATTATCGCGCACAAAACTTAACTCACATTAAACACAAGACTAACTTAATATAAAAGTGTAAAACGTCACAAATGCTTCATAGTGAAAAGAGAAACCACCTCCAATATCACAATTTATAATACTACGTATTCAGTCAAATGATTTCTCTAAACACGCTAAAACATATTTAAAAGATAAGATTAAACAAAAGTTAATATTAACGGCAAATAAAGAAGTATAAGTATCATCACAAAAGGTATTGCTTTGCAATAAAGTCCAATGCGATTTTTATAATACAAAATAAGGAAAATCACATTTTATTCACTCTTTCACTGATTCAATTGCGGATTTATTTACATCTTTTTCAGGTGAGTTGACTCTTACAGCGATTTCTTCTTCTACCTTTTCTGTGACTGTCTGGTCCGATACTAGTTCTTTTTTAGGTGTTTCTAAATCTTTCACCGTTGAATCCTCGTCTTTCATTGGCGACATTTTATCATGATCGCTTGTGTAACCTGTGTCGGTGTTAAAAGAATCTTTAGAATCATCTCGATCTGGGGTTTTTATGGTATCGTGAGAATTTTCGAGAGTTTCCGATGATAGATTTTTATCCGGTGAAATTGGTGTCTCATCTTTTGCATCTTCTAAAATGTCGTCACTAGAATTATCAGCTTTACTATCAAACGACTTGTTTTCAATGACAGTGTTACTGCTCTCCACACTTTCATTGAGTTCCGGTTGTGATGTATTCAGTTCTTCATTAGCACTTTCATAATGGTCGGGTTCTTCGTTTTCAGTGTCTTTCTCAGAGGGGGTAGCAGTAACTTCTGCTTTTTCAATAGATGTCTCAAGGACAGATGATTTTGGTTCATGGTCTCCACTGACTAAATTGCACGCTTCTTCAGTGGCACTGTTCGTGTCAACAGAGATGGGAGCCTCTGTAATATCAGAAGATTTTTCGACCTCGACATTAGCTTCAATGGTTTCCGGTTCAGTTGGTGGGGTAGAATCAACGTCTGTTTTTGTAACTTGTTCAGTAATTAGTTTCTCAACTTGCTCAGTAATTAGTTGCTGAACAGTGGAATCTGAAATAGGCTCACCAGATTCATTTGCGACTTGCTCAGATGTTTCATCTGAGGTTATAATTGACACAACATCTTTCCCGTTTAAGTATAATTTAACAAGTGCTGGTTCTTTAGTACTATCTAAAAATTCTATTTGGAATGTAGAGGAAGAATCAGCAGCCAAATCATCTAGTTTCGCTTTGGCACTCTCTTTGACAGTGTTGTCCTCCAAGCCTGCAAAGCGGCAGCACTTAGCTGCTGGTTCTATGGCGATTAGGTCTTCAGGGAGTTGTCTAAATTCCTGGGCTTTAGCTTTATTACCATAATCAATGAATAAAACATGATAGCCGACATCACAAAATTCTAATATTTTCGATCTATACCATTGTTCGTCGTCCTCCCAAAACGCGGCACACAGTGACCCAACTTTCAGTTCCATTGCAGATTCAAAATCTGCTGCGCCGCTTAGCCTGTCTATGATCTTATCTACATCAGCCACATTGTCGTCAAGTTGCACGTAAAATTCATCGACAGAATTCACGTAACAGATTTTCCCGCTGCTGAGTAAGTCTTGACCAACAGGTGTTGGTCTTTCGGTAGATGGATGGTCTTCACAAAGGCACACCAATTCCTCAGTTACAGATTTGCCATCAAGATGTAACTCCACAATGGAGATGTCGCCAGACGCAATGAACTGAACATTAAAAATAGTTGCACCTTCAGCTGCCAATTCGTTAAATTTGATTTCAGATTTGCGCGACCAAGATTTGACGTCGCGTGGTTTTTGTAAGGCACATTTTCTGGATAAAGCAGGTTTCATTTTGAGCTCACTTGGAAGGCTTCGTAACTCATTCGCGATGGATGCGTTACCGTAGTCCATGAATAAGACTTCTGTGCCTTCGGATCCGTCTACTATAACTTGCGCTCTATACCAGGCGCCATCTTCTGGGTATTTTGCTGCGCATATTACACCCTCCTCTTTTTCTGTAAGTTCGGGGAAGTTTTCTGCGTCAACCATGGCACTTTCCATCGCTTGTAGTTCAGGCGCCGCTGATTCTAATTGGATCCAAAATTCAGATGGCGAGTTAATATGACTAGCAAAGCAGGACGGCAAATCCCCACATTCAGTTTCTTCTGTTTTCGTAGCATGTCCTTCTGATACCAATTTGTCTGTGATATTCTGACCATTTACAAAAATATCTACGTAAGTCGTGACATCTTTCAGAACTATCAAAGCATCAACAGGCAATGATAAGTCGCCGACGAGTTGAGTGAAATATTCCGAAGCAGATTCGGACCATTCGCCTGTGCCTGTCGGAACAGCATTGACGCTCGACTTCAATGCGTAGCTTTCAATTTCTTTCAAATGGTTAGGTATTGTCTTAATTAAACCGGGCTGATTATCCAAGACATCTGTGTTGCCGTAATCTGTAAAGCGAACGGTAGTGATATCAGAGTCTGAGTCCAGTATTACAGCACGGTACCACTGGTCATCAGCAAGGTATTTAGCGATACACAATGTGCCCATATCACGATTTTCAATATCTGGGTAGTTGCCAGCGTTGGCTTGTAATTCTGCTTGAATTTCTTCGATTGTGTCAACTTTATCAGCCATTTGTAGCCAGAAGTGGCCTGGTGTATCAATGTGGCTGATATAAACTTGAGTCGATCCTGGTGGTAAGGAAAGTGGTTCTTCAACAGAAGCTTCAACCTTTTGGTCTTCGTTGGAGCCTACCTGAGGCGTGGCTAACTTTTCGTTGACCAGCTTCATGGCAAGATCAACGCCATCTAAGTGCAAGCTGGCGAGCCACCCGTCAGAGCCTAAAGCAAGTGTCACCTGGACTTCTTTATCCGTAGTCCATTCCATGAGTTTCGTCAGTGTATTATCCTGCAAAGCTACAAGGCCCAGTCCGGCAACGAGCGCCAGGGAGCACGTTTCATAAAACGTGAGGTCAAGTTGTTTCACAGAGTCTTTGGCGACGCTTTCAGAGTTACCATAATCTGAGAACTGCACTTTGACCTCACTTTCTTCTACACTGAGAATAGTAGCTCGGTACCAGTTGCCGTCTGATGATTTGGCTGCACATAGTGCGTCTACTTCGAAAGTAGACATGGCTTCTGGAGTACCTGCGAATTGAAATACCCGTATTAGACTATAGGATTAATTTGACATCACAAAATACGAGTCAATTCCTGTTTTAGGTTTCATACCTTCTTCATAGAATTGGAACAAGCTCTCTAAAAGTTGAGCAAGTCTGTCGCTATCAGTAGACTTTTGCAAGTAAATCTCGTTTAGGTCCTCAGAGTGTGAGATGTACGCCATTCCGAAGTTGTAATTGAAGACAGCGCGAGTGCACAGCGGGACAACTTCATCGTACGCGCCTTCGTCCGGTTCGAATATAGCTATCTTTTTTCCTGTTGCGACGTCGTAAAGGGTTGACATCAAGCTGAAATAATTAGGTTATTTACATTACCAACTATCGCTTGCTTTGACGGTGAAGTGAATGACATGTGAATTAACCCTATGGGAGTAGTGGTTAATGGATGACCTTAACACCCCTTTCCTTCACGCCAGGGGGACAAGTACAGGTTGGCGTGTACAGTAATGTAGACAATACGAGAGCAAATGTAGATAATTCTTTTAAATTTTTATTGAATTGATATTCAATTATTTTTAGTAAAATTACTCCACTAGTTTGTTATAAGTATTAATACAAAGATCGAACAGTCAGAAAAAATTCCTTCGATCCGGCCGGATTCGAACCGACGTCTTCTAGCATAGCGTGCCAAACGCTATACCAACTAAGCCACGGAACGAACCAGCAGAACTCACGAATTTTTTTATGTGCTTATTGTCGTGTCATGTATTTGGTTTTTCAACGACTTTTAGTCGTAGCGCCATCTATGAGAAATCGATGAAAGTTTTAACACCCAGTTAGATACCTTCACAAAGTTTCGTTCCGTGTCTTAGTTGTTATAACGTCTGGCACGGTATGCTAGAAGACGTCGGTCCGAATCCGGCCGGATCGAACGAATTTTTTCTGAGTGTTCGATCTTTGTATTAATACTCATAACAAACTATAGTCCATTTGTTTAGGTACTTAACTAAATGTAAACAATCTTGATACATCTTTTTATTGAAACACATGCTTTACAAATCAATAGGTATAAAAATAGGCATGCAATTTCATATGAAGCTAAGTATTTGTATTTTGTATTTGAAGGTAAGGGAAAATCATTTTATAAATGTATATTTCATTAAATAGACATCTCAAGATTGTTTACATTTATTTAAGTACCTAAACAGATGGACTATAGTGGAGTAATTTCACTAAAAGTAATTAAATATCATTTCAACAAAAATTTAAAATACAGTGAATAGCGACATCGGTGATAAAACTTTCATAGATTTCTCATAGATCGCCATCTACATCGACTAAAAAGTCGTTGGAAAACCAAATACAAAGAGACGACAACAAGCACAAAGAAAAATTCATGAGGTCCGCTGGGTCGTTCCGTGGCTTAGTTGGTATAGCGTCTGTCACGGTACGCTAGAAGACGTCGGTTCGAATCCGGCTGGATTTAAGGAATTTTTTCTGACTGTTCGATCTTTGTATTAATACTTTTAGATAATTCTTTTTTATATTTTGTTATAAAATATTTTATAAAAATTACCTTATTCCTTCAACATAATTTATGTAGATAATGAATTTGTTATTCAAGAGACATTGTTTCATTTTTTCGAGCGTCATCAGCGTGTTAGATTCTGCGGTGTAGTTGTTTAAAGAACATTCCAGTGATTGGTAATAGTACACGCTTAACTCCGTTGGCAGGATCATTAGCTGAAATATGATTATTAATGTAAGTATGTCTGTTTTCAAATATTAATGACTTACTACTATTTATAATGTATACTTATTCATTTTAGAATAAAATTATTCTTAAACACACGAAAATTTTATTTACCGTTTTGTACTTCAAATTATTCATTATGACCATTACATGTGAATTATCACATTGTGAAATAAATATATTATAGAAATAACATTAATGAAGTTACTAACATTAGCGACAGGCGTAGTAATTGTAAAGCCGTAATCTGGAAGTACAGCACGTACATTCTGCGTGTCAGATACGTCTTCCAAGATGGCGCGGTATATCTTGTCTTCGTGCTTCACTGTGCAGTGCACGCCTTCCATCAGACTCTCTGGCGCTAAAGGTGTTAACTGTGAATTCGGAAAGTAGCATTCTTAGTTCATCAAACACATTTTTTTTTGCTAATCGTTGATAGTAGCATATTGAAACGGATGAGATAATGTAGAAAAATAGAGATGAATTTCGTTCTAAAATGGAAGAATTGCGCTGAGGATCGTAAATTTGATAGAAGTCACTAACATGAATAGCTAATATTTCTTGACTATGTAACAGTTTCGTTTATCATTATTACATACTTTTAAAAACATTGTGATTGGCGCCTGCCACCGCCAGACCACATTTCATCTTACGTAGACTAAAACAATCTAGAATGATCTCTGTGACAGTTCATAAAAATCTACACAATGTAACCTTGTAACAACGTGCACTAATTTACGTACTCCATAAACTATTTTTGTAAGCCATTTAAAAGGAAATGAATAGCCTTTGTTTAAGTAAATATACTAAAGTAAAATTAACGCCAAATCAATATTTATTTGTAAGAAATGAGCGGAAAAACATTTCCTTTTTTTTAAATTATAGTACATTTCAATAGGGATGAGTTCTGTGACACTTCTAATATGAGGATACAGAGAATTTATTTATTATCGTAAAATAAATGTTGTCTTGTTTAAGTGTACATTTTTTTGATTGGCAATTTATTGTTTAACTGTTTAATTTTATTTCATAAGATTCTCCTAAAAAGTATTTATAATATTAATAGTATCCACGTTTATAATTAGTAGTACTTTTTACCTGAAATACAGGAATTTCCTAGTTCAGGTACTTGTGTTATTTTTACATTAAATCGCATAAGTAGTCTTTAGTTTTCTCTGTACATTATGTTACTGAATAAACAATTTTATTTATTTATTTATTTATTTTAATTTTTACGTTGCACGCAATACGATTTATAACTAATCTGTTAACCAGGTTACAAAAATAAATATCAAATTTGTTATAATGTACCAAAATCAAACAATATTTGTTGTAGATGTACTTTTAAGTCAAATTTGTGGTATATTATGTAGATAGAAAATGAAATAACAAATATAAGTTACCCCAACTGCTTCATGCGTAAAACGGATTATTTGTCCATAGAGACTTACACCATAGAATCGATAAATCGAATCGGCTTTTGTATCACTCGCGTCAATAAGAGGCATTAACATACCTTGTTAGAGGGTTTTATGTTGTTTTTTAACTTTGCGTGATCTTTTTGGAGTAATTTTTCAAATTCCGTTTCGTTTGTGTTGATTTTATGCTTTATTGTTGACTTTTTGTTTGGTTGTGTAGTTTTTAGGGATAGACACAACATAAATTACCCTAAGTACTTAATGTGTAAAACGAAAAATTTATCCACAGATATATACACCATTACTTTGTCATTACTTGTTCTTAAATTATTTTCTGTAAATCGATTCTCTCTTCGTTACAAATTATCTCGATAAGATATTTATATCGATTTTTTTCCATGCGATTTTACATCACTACATCTCTGAAACTTCAAATTTCAAACGTCACCGGAATCATTCCTATTGAAATGGACTATAATTTAAAATAATTTTTTTGCGACAATGTGCAAAGGTTACTTCATTACACTGCATTTGCTAGAGATGAAGTATATCGAGTTGCCAAGTACCAAGAGCTATATCGATAAACAGGTTTCGAAAATGTAATTAAGTGTATAGTGCGGGTATTCATTCTCAAAGTATGAATTTTAATCGTAGGTAATGAATTAACATATCAATGTTACGACTTTTTGATACGATAAATGATCCCTTAAAATTGCATTGGAATTATAGTGGAGTGTTTTATGCCTTCAATATAATACAAAACACTTCACTAGTCTATATATCATTCAGAATGCGTCAGAAAAATAAAACTATATGAGACAAACTTTCTTCGAAAATCAAATACATTAACCTTTACCTTATCCCTATGATAAACGTCAAATGAAATGTCACGGGGATCATCCTAGTTTACGTTTAGTATAGAAGTTTACTTACCTTAGATGTATCAAAGCTAGCAATGGCCTTTTCGACCAACTCCGCTTTGTCCAAATCAAGTTGTACATAGAATTTCTCATAGGATTCGACGTGGGTCACTTTGCAGAGAATCTGTTGGCCCACTATGATTGTTAGGTCGATCGCCTCATCTGGAACAATGAGTTTTTAGTGCTACCAATCGGATTGAAAATAAAAAAGCAATAATGTAAAAACAGCAACCTTTCAACGCTACAGACGACTGATGCTCAGACATGACAGCGAGCTGTTTCTCAATCAACGTGTCAGCGACGTTGACGCCATTATTCCACAGTGAGACCTTCCAATGAGACTCGACGTACTCTTGGAACACGCACTGATACCGCGGAGCGTTGAAACAAAGATCCACATCAGGGCTGGCTTTCCACTCGCCATCTTTAGGCGCCACTCCAAGTAAAGAACAATGGACAGCCATTTTCGGCAAATCCATAAGCTGCCTATCCAATTGCCATATATCTTTGGCATCCACCAGTTGCTTATTGCCGAAATCCACGTATCGAACGATGAATTTGGAAAACGGCTGCACTGATACCACTGTAGCTCTGTACAAAACTCCATCAGCAGGGTATCGCGCTAGCACAGAAGCACCAACGGGCACTATTCCAGTATATGACTTGACTCCTTTGTAGAGTTCTGGTATTATATGCATCATGTCGACGAATTTCTGTTGTAACGATAAGATTTGCGTGTAGAAACTTTCTGGAGATATTATCCAGGTAACGGAAACCTCGTGTTGTGCCCCGTTTTCGATTGTTGGTTCCTGGAATTCTGATTCCAATGGAACAGGGTCCGATAGTTCTTTATACTGAACTTGTGTGAACTTGCTTCGGCTTTTGTATGGCGGGGCGCGTCCGGCGCTGCCACCACCTTCTTGAGAGCGGAAGTTTGTCTCCGATTTCTTATCACTGTCCGACCCGAAAGATCGTTCAGCCCGTTCTCTAGGGGTGAAGTTGCTTTTTGTCCTGTCTCCTCGTTCCCGGTTATTGTCCCGAAATTCTCGCTTCTGGAAATTCTCTTTGTCTCCCCAGTTGTCCCGCCTGTCGCCGCGGTTGTCTCTGCGGTCTGGACGACCGCTCCTGTTGCCCCATTCGTCATTCCGCTTATATTCGCCATCACTGGGCTGATTGGATTTGTTGTCGCTGTAAATTGTAAAAGTCCTATATAACACGAGGTACTAAAATACTAAATGATGGAAAAATATACAATGAATTGATATAGAAAATATGTAAGTATTATAAGAAACTTTTAACAACAATATGATATGAGTTTGTGCAAGACAGTATGTTATTTATAACAAATCAGTGAATACAGAAATTGACTGATATATTATAGTGTGTTCCTTCACTGACCGATACTGATTTATCGTGCCGATTTTATCGATTATCGATTCGGTTTAATGTTGTCACAGCTATACACAATCCTGAGTTCTAATCACTTATTTAAATGAATCTTATGTGTGGCAGGAAGCAGCTAGACTTAGCTATTGTGGCATGTTTTATCAAATCATCAGTCCCCTAGAGTTCTTAGGTATACGCGATTGTTGCATTGAAAATGAAATCATTTTTTTTTTCGGATCTATTCTGACTCAGTCAGTCACCATGAGAGACCATGGGATCTGTAAAGAGCCCGAAACGTTACTTGGTTTGAAAAAACAAATATACGTGACTTAGATCCGAAAATATAGTTATATCCAATCAGTCCTCTCATCAACAAGGTTTTTTTCTATCTTTTTACGGTTCTTTAATGTCAATAAATTATTCTGTTTTAGCAGAAACTGACATTATGCGGAATCTTAGATGTAAATAATACGCAAACGAATAGCTTACGATTTTATGACTACATGGTATATATACTAAATAAATAAATATTTGGAGCATTTCCGGTCTATCGAAAACCGCCTCACACCTTTTTTGTTGTTAGGTATCGATCAGTGAAAAAATGCCTAAAATGATGTTTAATTCAGAAGAAACAAAACACGCCACACCAAGCAAACAAATGAAGACGAGCCAAACAACCAAAAAAAACGGACCAATCAAGTGAGCGAAAGTGTGAATCATCCAGCGCTGAAATGGAAATATCAACATAAAAAAATCCTTGAAACCGTGCATCGGGAACGTATGTAATAAAAAACACGAGAAAAAGAGCTCGCATTGTATAGAGAACAGTCGATATATTATGTAGTGCAGCAAACTAAGCGTGAAAAGCAAATAGGGCGAGGAAACCAGTGCATCGCTGATTCGACTATTAATGCTTAATTATCATGTACGAGTACATAGTAATTGTTGCTCGCGTGTTATATTGATAACCTAGTTGCTAACTTGTAATTTAGGTATGCTATAATTGTTTAATTTTATATTTTTATTAACATGAGCAAAAATGTAATTTACAATATTACAACTTTTGTAAATTATATGTTAGGTATCGTGACTGAACGTTACTATCATAATCGACCCGTTATACCTCCCACTGCTGGGCAGGGGTCTCATTCAAGGAGCGGTTGGAAATCTCGCATGTCTTCCAAGGATTTCATCACAATGTTTTCCTTCAGAGGTAAACTACGAAATATTCACGAATGTACGTAACTCACAAATTTCAAGTCATAGGTACATGCCGCCACAAAGATTCGAACCGTCGACTGCTCTTCATGGGGTCACATATCGCCTCATTTTCACATTAATCTCTATAACTTACAAAATGGACGAAAATAAATTATTTATAAACATGAAATCCTGAATCGAAATATGTAAAAACTTTTTCCCACCAAAATTGTAAGTTAGGTCAATTCATGCTAAAGAGGACGACATATTTATAACATACGATACAGATAAAACTTGTCAATTCAAATATGTCATCAACAGATAAAACTATTTTCGACATCTACATGGCGTAATCGTAATAGATAAAATAGATGAATACATGTTACAAGAAATAAATCACAAATACTAACAAATAGCATCACAGTGTAGTCAAAATAAAAGAGGGGTCGTAGCCGAAAGAGAAAACGGTTGCTTCTTAATTGGGCTTCTAACACAAGTAAATTTTACTTACAAGTAGCCCCAACATCGGACATTGTAAAATTATTATCTAGTGAATAAATGAATTTTGAATTGAATTGAATTTGAATTGAGAAGTTGGCGGTTTGAATCTCTGTCGCCAAAGATTGAGAAGAAGAAAGAGAAGGTAAAACATCGTGATGAACAAACTAGGGAATTCCCTGTACTATGAATACCAGAGCAATGAAATTCCAAAAGTAATTTTCTATATTTTAAGGGTCCACTGAAAATCAGCATCACAGTTTTTACTCGGCTGTGACATTAGTTGAGTGGATCCTTTTACATACGCCACAGCCGCACACAAAAATTATTTGACTGTTTAAAATTTGATATGTTTGGTGCATTTTTTATTTTATTTTGTTTTGCATTGTTTTTTTTTTATTACTTTCTATATATTTTTGTGTTCTGGCCATTGAATTACAAATAAATGGACGACGGGTCTAATACAAAAACCACGAAAAAAATGTCCCAAGTCAACCTATTCGAAATTTAAATTGTAATGTCATCGCAGTATCGCGCTGACAGTCGAACAAATGAAGACCAAAGCGGAGTTTGGCGCTCTGTATACGATTTTAGCGCCTTACAAGTGCGGACACTTTTTAGCGCGGACCCGACGTCCATATAATTGTAAGTCAATGGTTCTGGCGTTGTAATAAATGAATTCTATTCTATTGGTCTCACTGAGACCCGAATTGGTAAGCATTGATTATTTATTTTACACTTGTTTGTGTGATTAAACTCTACTGTTCATTCGTAAGGATGATTCTCCCGAGAAGTATGTGCAAGAAACTGTAGGGGTTGCTCTTTGTTAATAAACAATTGCACACATTTATCATTTACAATATTTATTTCAAGTTCAAGACTACCTGCAAGAGCTAAACGGGTCAGCAGTGGGATTTATAATAGGTTGATGATCATGATAAAATAAAAGCATTAATAAGGTCCATCTAGCTAAGCCGAAACACCACCACGGTACCGTTTCAATCGATCCTGGATAGAGTAGCCCTTGTGAATGTTCTGTGTGTCCAAGGAAGCGGCCTCGGCCGCCTGCTTTAGACGCTTGCCGACTCCGCTCGAGTCTTTGCCTTTCCAGTTAGGGCGAGTGCCTTGATGTTCTCTAGGTTTTCTTCTGTTAAACCATTGGTTATTGTCATTTTTTAGCTTCTCTACGTTTAAGGCCAATAACGCTGGACGTTATTTTGGAAGATTTTAAACGCTAGATTGTTGGGACGACGAAATTAGAGTATTGGATAATTCCATAAGATATGGAGAAACAAAGGTTTGTTGCCAAAAAAATGACTCGTTTTAAAGGAATTCAAACTTCTTTTTAAAGAGCTTCCTTGTCATAACTAACGCATTTTCGTAACTTGCCGACATATTTGCTCAACAAAAAAAACTTTATTTTTATATTTTGTTTGAAAAATGTCAATTACGCTGCTTAATAATAAAACTGAAACTAAATAAGATATAAAAACCCTTTAGGGTGGGTTGAAGATCACATAACGCAGATTCCAGATAATAAGATGTTATAAACGCAATTTCGCTAAAAATGTCGAATACGTTAGTTATGATATGGGCATAATTTCACAATCAATTCACATTCCTCATGGAAGAATGGCATAAGTGAAGTTTCGTCAAAAATGTTCATTGCTCCATTGGATACAGAAAAATAACCTAATAATGAAAAATATAACCTACATCCTCTTAAATTCTTGTAACTCTATCGATTAATATGGCGACAGAGTTACAAGAATTGAGGAGGATGAAAGTTATATTTTTCTGTATGCAATGGAGCAATGAATATTTTTGACGTAAATTCACTTATGCCATACTTCCTAGAGAATGCGATTTTTTTTTTATTTCATATACAAATACCTACTGCATTATTAGTACCTGTTCAAGAATTAAGTGTAATGGAAGTTCTATGTACCTATTGTTGTCCCGGTTATTGTCCCGATTGTCTCTGAAGTTTGACCTTGGTGGGGGTTGTGAGACAGTGGACTCTTCCCATTCATCATCGCAGGCGGCCACTGCTGGCGCTCCAGGAGGGTTCTCTCTTGGTTTTGGTCCTCCACGCCTAATGAATATAATAGAATGATACAATCCGTGTTTGCTGTACAATTATTATTATTATTAAAAAAACCTATTCTGTAGGGTCCCTACTAAATTGGACAATGAGTAACATTGCATGACCGACATTTTTAACCAGCGCTCTGCAAAGTTTTATTGACATAGTAGGTACATCGATATTTCGGGGAAGAAAGGGCGACAATGTCTATTTTTTTTTTATAAAAAATGAGCTATCAATAGCTAGTTAATAGTTGGGTAAATTTTCAAGCAGAAAAATTGTTAATCGCCATTAAAATGAATTTTCACGTCTAGTTATAATCATGACTTTTTTTATGAAAAACCACAAACTCAAAAGTTCGTGGAATGCCATCTATTTGCCAAGTTTGATTGAAATCGGTTACCAGAAAGTGTAAAAACCCAGATTCATACTCTAGTTTACAATTTTTAGAGGTGGAATATTTTCTTCAAATTTAAATGGGACTAATACGGAGTTGCCCTGTTTCCTACAAAAAAAAGAATCATCAAAATCGGTTCACAAATAATAGTAAACTAATAGTAGTAAACTTCTTGTATTGCATGAAACAATCTATGACAATTAAATGGGTAATTTTGAGGTTAGTTTTCTCTACATAATGTTGGTGGCAATTTTTATTAATTAAATTTATTAAAAAAAATTTTAAACATTATCACGAAGTATTACATAATATTCGAGTGTAGTATCGTGAAATATTATTTAAAATTTTATGATAATATACTCGAATACTTATATAATAAAAATCGCCACCGAAATTAGATAGAGAAAACTAACCTGAAGATTACCCAATAACACTTGCAGTGGTAATTACTGACTCTTGCTACCGACTTTCATAATTCTTAATATCGTCTGCTTAATTAAAGATAAAACCACAGAAGTGACATTTTCCACAAAAAATCTTCAAATTATGAACATATTGTTAGAAAATCACCATCTTTCTGCTGATAAAACTGTTATTAAGTTTATAGCTTTTTTGTTATTAAATTTCACTTATTAAATACATACAAATTAAAGACTTTTTGTTTAAAATGTCACTTATATAGTTGTACCTTTAAACAGACGATATCTAGATTACAACACAAAATAAATATTTCTGTAACTACCTTTCGCCTCTATCAGATCGTGGGTCGGGTCTGCCGGCAAACTTGTCGCTATGCCGACCTGGCCCCGATCGCTCGAAAGGTTCCTTATTTTCTCTGTCAACACATACACAACACTTCAATACACATTCCTTTTGTAACGCTAGTTCAATATACTTCTTATTATAATAATGATTTATAACTAATACCTTCGATGTCTATGCATGTTACAGTTCTAAATCACAGTTAAAAGTGTAATTTTCTCGTCAGATTGAGTTCAAAGACCCCATGAAGGCCAGAGCAACCATGACTCAGAGCAGCACTATTATTATGCTTTTTGTGCGAACAAAAAAATTGAGCATTGGATTTAGTGAGCGTGATATCGTTTGGAATCTCATTCTTAATCTATGATTGACAGTGTATTTTAAGAGCACGAAATATTTGAGGCTCGTGTGTAATAATAATAAAATGTATTTGTTTCGTACATGTCGCACACAAAACGAAATACTGTCGTAACTCAAAATTGTGGAAAAAAAAACTAAATGGAACGCAATACACATATTCGTTTATAAATGGATAATTAAGTATTATGTATAAATAAAAATAATGACATTATTGTCAATAAGATCCATTCAGTATTTCTTTTATTGAATTTTCATATTGTGTTTTCTCAATATCACAATTTTGAGTTATGACAGTGTTTGGTTTCATGTGCGAAGTACAAAACAGGGTCACACTATTAGGTACAATACATTTCAAGGTAGTACAAAAATATGAGATTTCAGCCTTTAAACTAGTATCTCAGGAATCAAGCCTTGCTCCTAACAATTTTGATCCGAAAATTGTCTCCACTAGTTAGAACACAGTCAACTTTCTCACCAAAATATTTAATGTTCAATAAACGCATTAGAGGAATAAAAATCACGCGTATGAATGCAATAACAGCGAACAGCTCTATGGCGATAATTCTTTCACCATATTAAAATATGGTAACAAGTAACGGTATCAATAAAGCAACTCTCTTTTAGTAATGCATGACGGAAATGGAAACATAGGGGGCTATTTCAATTTAATGAAAAAAATCAAATTAGGAATTCAAAGAGGCATGTTAGGCGCGTAGAAGGTGGTGGTCGCTAGTATCTGCCTACCTCAGTGAAAGGTACGCGTGATGGTACATATGTAAGTAATATTAAAAAATTTTAAAAGGTATTGGCTATTCTCCTTTTAACTTCGACAAAGGCAAAAGTTTTTTTAGTTAAAAAAATGTTATAGCTTAGTTGTCATCGTCTAAAAAATTCCTCTAAGCTCTTATTTTTATGTACATAAAAATGTACATAAAATTAAATGAAGTGATTCGGATCCAGGCAATATTATTCCTATGATCAGTGAACATTATAATGAAAATATCGCACTCAAATTTAGCGGTATATACATTAACATATAATAATAACATACCGATAAATGTATGTCGGGTCCGCACTAAAAAGTGTCCGAGCTGTACACGAGTATATTAAATGAGCATAGTCTGTGCAACCGGGATTTTTAAAGCAATACTTTAAAAATCCCGGTTTCGTTTTTTGACATAAGTTGGACTATTGTTAAGTGAGAAAGACGGTTATCAATTATTTAATTAAATATTCGACAAAAAAAAACTTAATATTTAATTACCTCATTCCATCGAGTATATAACCAGAAAATACTCAATGCCGCATTCATATAAAAATTTTCCGCTTTATTTGAAAAAATCATATCTTTCGTTATATTTTTATCTGCCTGCGTGGCCGAACGGTTCTATGCTGGACCGCCACGCAGAGGTTCCAGGTTCGATACCCGGGCCGGGAGAAATAATCGTATGGCCTACATTTGTTTCTCTCGTGGAGTTTGGGTGTAATTTGTGGTTGTCTATGTGTGTGTCCATGGCACTAGCGACACAGGGTTTCCCTAGTAGTTTCCCGGGGCAATGTTGAGTGTGTGCGTTATCATTTTTTAAAGGTGCGGTGAGCGTAAAACTCAGAAAAATTACATACCTCTTGACTACTGAGCAGGAGTTCGTAATTCGTAATCGTCCACGTGTGAATACAAATATTTGAATTCAGAGTGAAATTTATTGGCGTAGAATTACAATTACTAGCTTTTGTAAAAAAACTAACGACTCTCTGGTGTACGAAAGGAGCCTCTCCGCACGACATATCATATTCTTTCTTGTGTGTCTGACGCATCCTGGGCAACAATCGGTGAGTACCTAACGCCGATTGGCAAATTCTTTCACCACGATGGTAAGCATTATGGAGTATGCCATCGATGCGATAAAAAGAACAAATCGACACTGTGACCTGTATTTTGTTCGTGTTTAAAATAATACAATAATAATGTATCACATTCAAATTCGTTTATTCACTTCAAATAGGCCTATGTACCTCTGGATAGGTGGCTTCTCACGTTGCGTGGTTTTGTGTTTCGCACCGTACCAACGTGCCGTGGGAAGAGTGTAGCCGGCGCGGACTCGCTTTTAAGGGCTGGGTCGGATCCGCCATGTGACGATAACATGAGTTGCAGTTGAGCCCCTTGTGAAAGAGTTCGACCAGGGAAGTACCTTACCTTACCAATTTCTGCCGCCAAGAAGTAATGTGAGCATTACTGCGTTTCGGTTTTGAACGGTAAAAGTGCTGGTGAAATTACAGGCACATGGGACTTTTGAACTTGTGTCAGGGTAATGGGCGCAGTGGCAGTGCCCTTCAGATCTTTAAGATTTAAAGCTCTGGGCGGCACTGCAACTGTTAATAACAGGAGTGTCGCGTACTACCAGGCGTACGACTTATTCGTCTCGTTACTTGGTTTAAAAAAAAAGGCCTAAAGGCGCCGCGGGAAGCATAGCAGCTCAAACCAGAGTCGAACTCGCGACTCACACCCGAGTCACTACTGGCGTGTGATACGGCGCTGCGCGAGATGTCTCTGGTAATCATACACCATGTGCAGCCACCTTAAGTTTTTGCCACATCAATCACTTGGAAGGTTTAGCAAATCAGGTTCTATGATTTGAATACAAGATATATTGCCTGCAAGTTTACTATTTATAACTTAAAATTTTTTTTTATTGCGTCATTTATCTTGTAGGGGGCGTGTCAGAGACGAATACTTATAGAATACTTGCCGTAGACCAGTTTACATTGTATAGGTATCAGTGGCGAGGCGGCCACATAACACGATTCCCACCGGCTTGCCTAAAAGTTCCGTGTATTACCAAAAAATTGTACTGAACAGCGCGCATACCCCACCACTTTAAAAACATATCCAAAATATTCACTATTAAACGCTTAGGTAATAACTTGTCCCGATGCATCTCAACCAATCAGCGCGAGGTAATCCGGTGGACCTACGAGTTCTATTTCATTCATGAAATTTACGCGCTTCCATCAAAACACACGCACATATTAGCAAAAATCCGCTATAAAACATCTAAAGAAATGGCGGCCGAGAAGCCGAAATTAATCGGCTTCTAGTCAAATAGCGTCCACGTAAATTTACACCTTATTCCAACAAACTATTGTTTAATTTGTTTTAATCTCAGAATCGTTGCCAGATGTAAAATTTTCTTAAAATAATATAACAAAATTAATATAATAATATTAATTTCGTTATATTAATATAATGGCAAATTTATACAAAATATGGTTAATTTCCATTTTGTAAATCTTAACGATAAATAGTGTTACATGTGTATCTATATCTATTTGGGTGTTTCTTTCTAATAGGGCTACGTAAAGAATGTATGTACAAGGTAATTAGTAGGTAATTAAAATAGCAACACTTAGCATTCATAAGTTTGTTTGTCTGTGGTTTGTTTACTAACAAACTTTCGTATTGAAACTGGCTGCATAAAATGTAGTAAATTACCTTAAAAACTATAGTTATTTTATGTGCAGAATAAGTTAACATGTGAAATGAAGTGAACTGCTAATAAGTGTTGCATTTAAGTGTCGTCAAGGCGCCTTTTTAACGGGAAAAGAAATTTTTGTTAAAGTAAGTTTAATGACAAACTTAATGACAAAAAACAAGTACTAGTTGTATTTATAGACTACAGTAAAGCATTTGATACAATTAGACATGATGTGCTCATTGAGAGACTGGATGACTGCGGTGTGAGAGGCTCTCTGCTTGGTTGGTGCAAAGATTATCTTAGACAACGCTCCTACTGTGTAAAAGTAGGCGAAACTTTGAGTGACAGAATGTGGGCCAACTATGCCACGGCACAGGGTTCAGTTCTTGGACCCTTGCAATATTTGACATATGTTAATAACGTCACTAATGTGATAAGGAAATGTGAAATATATCAATTCGCTGGTGACACGTGCCTTGTATCTGCTCACAATGATCTTGATGAAGCTCTTAAAAATTTACAAACAGATTTCACTAGCTTAATGGAATGGTCACATGACTCTGGTTTGGTGTTTAATGCCAATAAGACTAAGCTTGTGTATGTGAGTTCATCACAAAATCGGAAAACAAGTATAGAACTTAAACTCATTGCACATGAACACAAGTGTCTACACTCATTAAACAAAACTTGACGATCATGCACATGCCCTTGTATAGCACTAGTGTATAGTCAAATTTATCTAGGACTTGTAGTAGATAATCGCATGAAATGGACAGAACACATAGATACGGTTTGTAATAAATTAAAATCTATTCTTGCGAAATTTACAATAATAAAAAATAAAGTACCTTACCCTACTTTGCGCAACCTGTACATATCACTCGGGGAATCGATCATCGGATATGGTCTTACCAGCTACGGCCGAACTTGCAAAAGTCACCTCGATAAAATTTCCGATATGCAATGAAGAATATTAAAAACTATAGTACCCGCTAAAATTAAATTGAAATACAAGGACGATTACCGCGATCTGTTCCATCACTGTAAATTACTCCCTATACATGAAAAATTAAAATACATGCTACTAGTTGAACACTTTTTTGATAAAAGTTTACAAACTACCTACAGTGGTGAAATAAAGACGCGAAATGTCTATAATAATAAATTGAAGATACCGCCTTATCGAAATAATTATGGTAAAAATAGTTTAAAACATATAATACCTTGTTTAATCAACGAAATTCCTGAAGAAATAAAAGTATCATTAAATTATAAAAATATCAAACCTAGATTAAAAAAGTACTTTTTAGAAAAAAATACGTAATAATATATATAATAATGATAATGTATATTAAAAGTAATTATATTAATATGCAATAAATATTATACTATTCAACTTTAATTAACAATATTATGCATACTAACTCCATATAATACTTACGAAAAAGTTTTTATTACACTTATTTTTTTATTGTATTATATTATATTATACTACAATTAGTATATTATATCCGTGTTCAACAGCAGGATGTACAAAATTTTAAGTTTATTGACACCCTATATTACCGAACTCACGCACACCACGAAATGTCAACACGAAGGAGTACGAACGCGCACACTACACATAGAAATATTTTTGTACGACGAATGAGCGGTATACAGAAAAACTTAGTTAAGTTTATGTTATACTGGAATGTTTTGTTTTTTAATACTTTTAAATGTAATAAATACAATAAATAAAAAATAAAAAAAGGGTTTTTTGTGTCTTCATAAAGTTAAAGCTTCGGCTTTACCAAAGAAAATTTTCACGCCTCGCCACTGATAGGTATGTTATATTATATATGTATATACAATTGAATAAATACCTTGTGTACGCATATTGTAATAATCAGCGAGCTGAATAGGCAAGATAAACTTCCTAAACACTATAGAGTTGATAATACCTCACCCTGGAATCTTAAGATTAGTCTATTTTGTTCTACATTTTTCCTGTGTAACTAGTTACTACACAGTAGTGAATTTAGAAGTTTCCTAATTGTAAGTAAAAATTAATTCTGCCCGATACCGAATATATATGCCACTCAATTTAAAAAAAAATGTTACTTGTGCTTTTCTTTCTTCCAAGGGCAGAACTATTCTGCCATCCGCTGACAAAAACGCGGCTAAGAGTAAAAATATTTTTTGAGATGTCACAAAAAACCATAACACAGTTTTAGACAATTGAAAATGTTTAATGATATTTCAGCTATAGATCGTTCCGATAAGTCGAACACATTAACTAGTTTTAACTGTTTTTAAAAGATAATTTTTTGCTCTATGTTTTGCTATATAGAACGGATATTTGACCATTTGTCACTAAACCACGTTTTAGTTAGTGGACGGCAGCATTTTGTTTTCAATTTTATGCCTTTTATTTTTCATTATTCTGATATTTCAGAGGGAGGTACTACCCATTCTATGTATCGTACTTGAAGTTTAGGTAAATATACTCAGCGTATATTCCTGGCAATAATACAAAAAAAATAGGCGCCTTGACGTCAAGTTGCGGACACTGGCCCGTGACACCAAGTACCAGTACAATAGATAAAAAAATCAGGGCAATTTTCAATTAATTCGATTTCTCGACAGGCGTTAACTGCACGAATTTAACTTACAATTGCAGCATTTCTTTTTTGTTGATTTTAAAGAATAGTGGTTCAAACGAGATTAGATCATTAGTCTTATTACATAGCTAGAACCACTATTCTTTAAATGCATAGATGTATCCAATATTGTGCTAAATTTTATAGTTAATAAGATACCAAACTGTCTTTTGGTTAAAACAATAAGTAAACAACATCGGCCCGGTATACGATCCGTCGGCTTTGCGTGTCAGGTACGCCTCAATAACTTTTTATCATCTTCGTGATGAATTACATGTTTTTGAGAGAGGCCGCTATTTTTTTTTAGAGAGACGCTGCTGGTTTTTTGAGAGAGACCGCTATTTTATAAAGACATTACAAGGGGTACAGTGATGAGGGCGTGGTGGATATGTTAGATGAATAACTGTACTCGCTGTAAGCAATTACAGCAAAATAAGCCACTAGAAAGTGGGCAAAATTGATCTTGTCAAACCATTACCGAAAAACAGCATGTACAGATTAAGACTAAGTAATTTTAGTTGTTTGTTGATAAATATAATGTCTTTTTATGTTATTCCACAACTGTCACATTTCATTTTCATCGAATTAAGTAGCAGTAGAGCTCCTCGTGAAAGAGTTCGTCCAGGGTAGAACTGCCACCTTACTTATTTCTGCCGCCAAGCAGTAATGTCAGCATTACTGTGTTCCAGTTTTGAAGGGTAAGGGTGCTGGAGAAATTACAGGCACATGAGACTTGTCAACTTATGTCTCAAGGCGACGGGCCCAGTGGCAGTACCCCTCAGATCTTTGCGATTTAAAGGTCTGAGGGGCATTGCAACTATTATGGACAGGCGTGTAGCTTACAATTAGGCGCACGACTTGTCTCTGTCCCGTGACTTAATATTATAAAAAAAACCATTTACGTTCTCCATGTACATACAAGAAATTCAGTAAACCTGAAATATGACAACAGGTTATTTAACTGACCTGCTTCGGAAACTACTTCCTCTCTGCCCAAAATCATCAGCGCCATCACGCGGTGGCCGGCGATCGTCTTTGAAGCTCTTCTCCCGTCGGAAACTCTTTTTGCGGCTATCCTCACTGCCTTCTGGTGAGCTGAACGACTCTGGCGCTTCTTTGCGCACTGGGGTCGTTGCTTTTGGCTAACAGAGAAATGAACAGTATTAAATTTTTTAAATCCTCATTTTTGCTGAAAAGCACCAAAACTTTAATGTTATTTTTACTAACATACTTAGTCCCTGAGTCGGTTTTGGTACACTCAATGTTGGGTGGTTTCAATCGGTTTTGTCAGAGCCCACATGTAGTGCCGCGAAGATTTTGTATATAATTGTTTGATTAGGTAGTATTTTCATTAATTTGTTTAGATTTTATCAATATAGTGTTTTCTAATGAAGCTAAAATTTAGAATAGTTTAAAGTAAATAGTTTAAAAAAAAAGTAAAAATGTATGTAACACATTTGTGGATTCTGTTTTCTGAAATAAAGATACTTATAAAAATAAAAACCATATATGAACCACGGATTTATATATTTCATAAACTGGATCGCGTTCTTCGATATACCAATATTACAAATTTACACCTTATTGGGTTATGTTAAAGTTTAATTTAAGTAAAAGTAAAAAACAGAGCCACGTGAGATAGCTCGAAGTAGTGGTCTGTCCTTGGCTAACAAGTTGGCAACGCTAAATAAAATCATCTTAGGTAGTGTCTAGTCCATTATCTTTTCAAAGTTTTGCTTAAATAATATTAGGTTAAAGGTAATATGCTTTTACTGTGATAATACAAAAAAAATATCAACAATAAAACCTTCTATTATGAAGTAGCATATCAAATAAATATACTATTTTGTATTCCCACCATTTCGGCCACATTTACTGGAAAAATTAAAAAGTTACAAACAATATGGCTGGCTGAAACAAGAATAAACACCCTATTAGAAACAGATGCATTACTACTTTGAAGCCTCTCACTCGGCTCGTTTTATTAACGTAGTGCGCGGTCCAGTTTAATACACAAATCCGTGATATGAACAGATTTTAACACGACGTTAATGCTATGATTGGACGAGGCGGGCAAAATGTGCTTGTATGCCATCGTAGACGGAAAACTCTACAGCAAAAAGTTGCGATGGAGACGTAATAAAAAGATTCGACCGTATTTAAGCTGATGGTTGTGCTCAATCATAAACAAAAACTTAAGCAGAATAATTAAATTTAAAATTGCGAAACAAAATGTCCACTCCCCGATGAAAAATTTGTAAAAATTTTAATGCAATGTTTCTCGCAAAAGCAAAATTTTTTTCGCGCATTATAACCAGTAAATAAGAATTCTACAGTTACAAAGACACAGCTAGTCTAGTAATAGATACGCATAATCAAATTTAATTTAATCAACTTGTAACGGCAGGTTTTTTTGGTGACATTTTCAAAATCATAGATTAGTTCGCCTTTTCGTAACAAAGATAACCTAATCGTGTATCATGCGAATAATTCTGACACGTAAAGAGTCAAGAGTACAATAATCAAAATTAAATGCTTCAGATAATCAAGTATCAAACTTAATTCCGTCACTAACCCAAAATTAAATATATTGAAATGTAGACATTTCAAATTATCAAGTTTAAACTCAAGTTATTTTGCCATTTAAGATTTTGTTCAACTACTATTGGTGCCGGCTGAACAAATTGTATTATCAAATGAAAGTTTTTAAGTGTGCATATAAAATTTATAGATGCATCATTCAGCAATAACAAAAAATAATGCACGCGAATGAATACAATCGCGTGTTGCTCAGATACCACCTTTTATGTTCCATTTACACATTGTATATGTTTTATCTAGATGTAAAAGATATAGATGATTGGTCTCATAAATAATTGGCAATTTCTCCCAGTGCCTGTCTTCAGCATTTGTTGGGTAACTTTTACTATCCAATCAATAAAAATGTAGCCTAATTATTTATTTTAATTTAGATTTTTTTACATATTCAGTAACATATAAAACTTAATTAAATTTAATAGTAAATAAAAAGGAAAAAAGTCAACATTGACCATGGGACCTATGAAGGCCCAAAACATTGGTTTGTTTGAAAAAATCAATTTTAAAATGATTTAAATCTGGAAACATAGTTTCAATTCCTATGTGTAACAAGTGCGAAAACCTAAGAATTCCATATTAAATAAAATTTTTAAAAACTCCCGTTTTCAAAATGCCACAGACAGACATACAAATACACAGACAAATGCTTCAAAACACCTGTCTTTTTGCGTAGGGAGTTAAAAAGGAAATCATTCATTGCAGAAAAAAGCAGGACAGCAAGCTGATTTTTTTTTTCTTCAAATATGCAATACAATGAAATGATCCATACATGAAATCAGTTTCATCAACTCAGGTTGATCAACACTAAAAAAATAATAATCAATTTTATTAATTTTTATCGACAATTCACACTTGACCAAAAAATTTACTACACCACAATTGTTATCACAAAAAAGAGTTAACGGTTCCTAAGACAGTTTATTTGTATGTCCTATAGTTACGGATTTCGCAATAGGGTCCCATTTCAAAAAACACACTCTATACAGGCAGTGTCGATAGCAACATTTTTTTTTTCTGTCTGAAGGTGTTTAGCATCACGAATTCTTTTGTATTCCACAATATTGTTGAAGCGTATTATTGCCCCCTGTATTGGTGTGTTACAGCGATTCTGGATTTTCGTGATATTAGGCTAGTATTAAAGTCAAACACCAATTGAATATGGTAAAGAGACACAAAATTTAATAGGCAACATGAGTCAAACATGCAGTAATTACTATTGTACTATATTGCAGTTAAGTATGGATTAGCAAACAGGGTCTGTGTTGTAGAAACTCGATCCTCTTATTACAAAATATAGTGCCTTCAGAACAGTTACAAATTGTTTTCTAAGACTGAGTTCAGATCACAATTACTGAACACAATTTTTATTCGTAATTAGCAGCAATTCAATCTTCCTTAAGTTTATTATGTGCTTTATATATCTATAATACGTTTCTTTGTAAATCTAATGAAGTACTTTCACAAATTCAAATACTTCAGGTACTTATTCCCATTGTAGATGGACCCATATTTCAGTAGGTGTGGGGTAAAAGAAATGAAGTCCACATTTTAGAACTTAAATGTTTTTACAAACATTGCTTTAGAATAGTAACAATAACGGAATCGTAAAAGCATTAATTTTTATCATCATTAGTAGTAAAAAAAAACTGTTTGGTACTTAAGGTTCTTTAACTCTCATTTACAGATATGTTTCCTTGGACTTGGTCGACAATGGAACATATGAGGAAGTGTCGGCGGATCAGCGTCCATGTCCAGTATGACAGCAGTGTGAGTAGCAGCACATTGTTCAAAGTAATTTATTTATGTATTGTTTACTTTTCATGTTAAGTTTTTAGTTTTATTCCCTACCTACTTTTAATTTTTACTTTCTTGTTAACTATAAAAGTGTTTATTTATGTGTTGTTAGCCATGAATAAGTCTTTTTATTCTTAATCCATTTTTTCAAAATTACAATTCTATTTAATATATTTTCTACCTTCATTGAATATTTTGCTGTTTGAATTTTGAGATCTAAATAAAAATCAAAGATAAAAATTAGACTTCTAATTACCTCAATGTTGCTTCTAGGTTGTGAGAGTTGAGTCATTCTCCTGGCCACATCAAGAGGGGGATTGACTGTGTCGTCCACCAAGGATACCAACATTGTGTCATTGGATAATACACCAACAATATTAGCCATCAAGGTTTTCTCCAGAGCAAGCATTTCTAGCTGATTAGAGGTCTTACTTTCTACTGGTTTGCTTTCATATCCCTGATATAACAAAAACAATATGTAAAGACCTATGTATATTAACTTTCTTATTAATAAAAAAAATAGTAGATACACTTACTTTTAAGGCACATTTCAAGGCTTGAGCAGGCAGTCTCATCAATTCTGGTGTAATAGTCCTCAAATCTGACACATCAACTTCTTGTTCATTGCCATAGTCAACATAGGCAACAATTATTTTATTCCGTCTAGTGTCTATGACTCGTGCGCGGTACCAGTTGGTGTCATCAGGGAACCGCGCACAGCATGCCGCACCCATTGGTAATTCACCAGGAGATGAGCTACTCTCACAGTGTGCCTTCACTGCCTCCATCACAGCATTCAATTTGTCTATGTTCTCAGACAATTGGACAAAAAAATTCACACAACTGTCTACGTAAGAAACCAAGACTGACTTCTTGCTTCCCAGTGGCAGCATCTCCAACCACTTAAACTGCAGTTTGTCTTTCATATTTGCAAGAAGCAGATCTAACACATTCTTGTTGTCCATGTACAACTCTCCATATTGTATTAGTGGAGGCCCCTCTGGTGCCACCACCCTCAGGGTTAGAACTTTTCCATTCACAAGTTGCTTAAACGCCTCATTCAAATGAGGACCCTTCTCCAGTTTCTTCACTCCAGACAGACAGAATCTCATGGCAAAAACATTTGGTTTTACAAATTCTTCAGGGATATCAAAAATGTCATAGTACGAAACCATTTCTGTGTCCCCAAAGTCCACAAAGAACAGTTTGCATTGTGATCCAGACAGGTTCATTACTATGGCTCTGCAAATTATCCTGTCTCCCGACATTCTTCCAAGGCACACTGTCCCTATCATTGGAGGCTCAGCAAGACTACTATGTGGTCTTCTGTTTATATCATCCATCATATCTTGAAGCTTCTTGGCATCAGTCACCAGCTGAACAGCAAATAATTCAGGTCCTTCTTCAGCAAATGAGACAAAGACTTTGTGTTGGGAACCCACTTCTAAAAGTCTGCTCTTGTAAGTAGTTGATTTTTTAGGAGAAGGTGGCTTATTTACACTTACTGGAGTTAAAGGAGGTGGTGTGCCTGGTAATTGTGCAGGATGGGCTGGGGGCACTTGTTGAGGCTGACGACTAGGTTTGAGATTCACTGGATTTCTGGATGCTTTGTTGACTAGCAGCCTTTGGCTGATCAAGGAAGGTGGAGGCACACTTCCATTAAATGGCAATGAGACATTCTGTTGTAAACGCATAGCTGATGCAGGATTAGATGGAAAATTCTGGTTGATCAAAAATGGTACATGTTCTAAATAAGACGACTCACTTCCATAATTAGGCTGCCAATTTGAAACCTGTTGATTCTCCCCAGATAACTGCATCAGTAAAACCTCCTGTTTTGCTAGAGGTATTGCAATGAAAAATCTGTTTGCCACAAGATGTGACGAGAGATCAGTACCTTTGAACTGAATGGAAATTACAGGCAAAGTTCGAGTGGTAGCCTCAATAGTTGCAGGGTACTCAGAATAACAAAGCTGGCTTTGTAGTTTCAGCAGAAGTGGTTCTTCCCATCTGCCTGAAGGGTGCATAACTCGAGACAAATAGTAGTCGGAGGCTTGGCCCCGCAGCTGCAGGAACAACGGGTCATAGTTGTCCAGGAATCTGATAGTGCTCAATGAAATGATGTCTTTGTTCCCAAAGTCGATAAAGTGCACTCCAACTTGGCCAGTGGCGAGATTAGCCGTGTTTATGATCTTGGCTCTGTAGTAAACGCCGTCTTTGTATTTGGCGGCACAAATAATGCCTTCGTGAATAGCTGCCGGATGGACAGCACCGATCCCTTTTTCCAAGTTTTCGTTCGCTGTCTTGAATAAACTTTCTATCATTAAACATGATGGCTGATCTAGCTGTCCACTGATCTTCAGAAAATGACCCTCGCCATCAACATGGGTCACGTAGAGGCGAAAAGATCTTGAAATTTCATTTGGCAAAGCCATTGAGGTAACTTTTTAAAGTCGTCAAAATGGTAAGAAAAAGCCAATATCAACTCACATAACTTTTATCCAAAGGAAATGTTCTCTACCACGAACTTCTACTAAACTTATTTATAAAAGAATGCCGCTTTCTTTTCCGTGTTTTCAGCAAACATGGCGCTTCGTCCATTGCATAGCAAAGAGAATTAAAAAAGAAATAATTTGTCTATGCTTCGGACATGGAGGGGACAGGGGACATCTCACTGGAATAGCACTGTCTCATTTTTGCTACTACTTCAATCCTTCATTCTTCACTTCAGCTTTTGAAGTTTATGGAACGCGTTTCCTACTAGTGTGGATGCGAGTATTGATTAGAATCATAGATACAGAATAAATATATTTTTTTGTATCCGAACATAGTGCGTATTTTTTTTTCCTTTTTTGGCTTTTGTGGTTAGTATTTTAGCCACTACAAGTATTTTGATATTATCATAGATTTATTTTAATGGATATTATGTATGTACACTATAGATTTAGTATATATATATATATATATATATATATTATATATATATGTATATGATATATATATATATATATATATATATATATATATATATATACATCTTTTATTATTTTTTCCATCCTCTAAGATAATATAATAATAGGATTTGTTTTTAAAACGGAGATACAGACTTAGAGGATGGAAAAAAATAAAAGCATAAAGATGAAATTTGGAAACATAATTATGAAGGTGAAGAAAGAAGGATCAGTTTTTAAATAGTTATGTAGTTGTTGTCCATAATTTTATCGATAAAATTTTGTCAATTTTGATAAAAAATGACTGAATTGTGAATGTTATGGCGTTCTAATGATTACTAATTGCGTTATTACTTTCTTTATTTTTATTTCGAATTTTTATTCATATACATTTTAACAAGAATAGCTAGATTTGATTATCTATATTGAATTAAAATTAAAAACTTTAAAATACATCTCTTTGTATTTTTCGTAAACATGGTTCTAAATATAATGTACGTATGCATGAACTTACAAAAATTGACAATTTAAATGAACTTGTGCTCAATAATTGGATGAATAATGAGTCGAGGATGATTCAAATGAAACAAGTTCAGCTATTTATACATTAAGCGTGACCAATATTGATTTGGTGTTATTTTTACTTTAACTTAATTTATTACTTAAACAAAAGCTATTCATTTAAAAGGAAGCTATTCACTTATACATATAATTTATGAAGTAGATAAATTATTAGTGCACGTTATTAATTACAAGGTTATATTTTGTAGATTTTTATGAATGATGTCTCAGGGGTCATCATAGTTATTTTTAGTAATTATTTGTTACCTTTTAAGCTGATGGATCTATAGCCAATGCTTAATGAATAAATAACATAAGAATTAGATTTTTTTAAATGAAACGTCAGGTTCTATTCTGCGTCTGTCGACAACACCCTATGACGTGAAAATCCAAACAACTATAAAGATTATCAGATTAAGATTATCATTATTATTATTGACCACGATACTGTCATATCTTTACTCTTGGCAATCAATGCCCCACCTCCATAACAAGTTTACTATATTTATGCAACACAAATATTTATAATATACTGGCCTCATTTATCGAAAATAATAATAGCAAGCTTTAACATGTATGCCGATTTATAATAGCTACCCACCTACCCAACTTATATCCTTTTCCATCCAAATTTCGTACCTCTTCCATAATCTGTAATTCTGCTATCCCAACCCTTTCATTGGCTAAATGCGAAGGCAAAGCCATTAACCCTTATACTCTTTTGACATGTGTCATACTTTACACCCGTAAGCTCGCACGCTGTCATGGCAACGATAGTAAATATTTGCCGACATTTACAAAAGTTGCGATAATTCAAAAACTATCAAACGGTTTTACTTGAAATAAAAAAAAAAGTATTCTGCGATAATGTTGTATTTTTGTGGTAAGTAATTCAAAGGGATTTATCACCTCATACCATTATAATTACTCGACAAACTTACACACAAGGAAAAATAGTAGGTGTTGGTTGTAAATAAATCATTTTTGAAAATATTAGGCAACTTCGATCAAATAAGTTATACAATTTGTAATGTTGAATGTATAGCTAAAAATCCTACATAAGTGGTTTTATGTCTTTCAATAAAGATAACAGAGCTAAATGCCTTAGAACTAAGCGGCCATTTTCTGACTGTCGGATAGCGAATGTAAATTTGTATTATCAAGTAATTGTTGATCTTCAACCAAATTGGAAAATAAATTAGTTTCATTTGAAGAAAATATACTTATTTCATTGAAACATACATTGAATTATAGAAATATTCAACAGATAATAACAAGCAACGCTTTATGAGATAGGGATACCCCATTTGCATCTCGTTTTTCTTTTGTCTTATACTCTTACTAGAAAGATTTTCCAGGTGAAATAAAACAACGTATATTGTAACAGAATAACTGTATTTTTCTCTGTTACACTCATTTTAGACGTCATTCAAACAAAATATAAAAGAAAATCATAATCAAAACCGTCACTTATTTGTATGAAAAAGTTGAGTGAAATAGTGATGTACCGATGCCGATTGAGGTATCGATAAATCACGTACAAATGATGAACCATGCTACTAAATACTAAAAGTGAAAAAAAGAGACGAATGGGTACATAAAAGGTCTTACGATACAATATCGAAGTTTTTTTTGACAACTTATTATAAAATAATGAACTCCTGCACCACCAACACCAAACCAGATGCAATATATCATAATCATAATCATATAAACAAATTATTTCTTTTTTATCACGAGTGGTAAGGTCATATAATGTTATCACTCTCGTACATAAACTGTCTTACGATAATATATCGATAAATCGATATATTATCGATATATTATGGTCGATGCGTTATGGGCAGTATAATGATTATCGAAAAAACTCTGCTACTAGCCCATGAAACTAACTCGTCGGCTTGCTCCTCTTCCTCGTCGGTATCGCTGGCTCTGTAAAGAAAAGAAAGATACTATAGAATAAGAACATCTGTATACAAATATTGTGATAGTTTTGTACCTAATTAGAGCATAATAATACTTACACAACGTCTGATATGGGTTCTGGCCTCGCCATAGGAGCCAGAGTTCCGTCGCTCTGCACCACGAAAATATTACTTCCAGATAATAGCTGCAATGAAACAAAATTGTTATTACTAGCACAATATTTCAAAAATATCGTAACTACGACCTACATTTACATTAAAAAAAAAATGCAATTTACAATGTGAGACGCATGTACATATATTTTTTATCCTACCCTATACAACATTATCGCCTACACCTCTTGTTATGGTTAACTCAACCACTTATGCTCATAACGAAATTCTTTGAAATCAGTTTTGTTAACGTAAGTGGCATAAATCATAGCAAAAGTAAATGTGACCCTTCTTTGTTTCACCCCCACTTTGTAGTGAAACAAACAACACTCCAAAAAAAGGGTCGCGTCTGGCAGAGCAGGTAGCAAGGCAGGACAGAGTCACTCTTTGTTTTTCTGAAGTACTTTGCTAAAGAATTTGCACTAACTAAACAACTCTGATTCCCACTGGACCGTCTATTGGCACATTAAGATAAGCTTTGAAGTAACTGAGCATTTCATGACGGGAACACGGGCGGCCACACTGGATAGGAATGTGAATGAATGTTTATAATTTGGGCTGCGGATGCGGAGGTCCCGCGTTTGATTCCCGGCCGGGTCAACGTAGAAAGACTAACTTTTCCATATTGTCTTGGGTCTGGGTGTCAGTGGTAACTTCGTTGTTTCCGATTTCCATAACACAACTTATTTTAGCTACTTACTTTGGGATCAGAGCAACGTATGTGATATTGTCTAATATTTATTTATGCATATAAACATTACCTACGAACATATGTTTGAGTATAATATTATCTGTTACTCACGTTCAGTTGGTCGATTTGCGCTGCTAGGTCGCCCTCCTGTTCAATTTCCTCCTCAACGATCTCTTCATCTGACTCAGACTCCTCATCGTTGAGGATATCAATGAAATCATTGGGCACGCTTTCGTTTCCGGGGTTCCACATCTAAAAAACATATTAGCAGTACTGTATAAATTAAATACATACACAAAATCGTACCTTCCTCGGGTAGGCAGAGACCACAATTTACTACTATATAAATTATGTACAATAAACATTTTTACAATTATTTACTATAAAGTAACGGTACGGAATATTTTATCCATATTGTAGCGGCACTTATTATTTTTTAACAATTATACCTACCTTGTTAGATACTTGGTTATCGAATCTTAGAACAAAAAAGGAAAAATGAAAGTAACAATATTTTACACTTTTCGTTCACAGATTGTCTTATCGATGTCACCTATATCGACATGGAAGCACTATTGCGAATATGGCGTATAAAAATGGCGGTCATATTTTTGCAACATGTCAAATAAAAGCAGAAATTTACGAAATTTATTCGCTTTCGATCAGAAATATAGGCAGAATCCTATAAAAGGATGTTGCACTTGTATTATTATTACATATTATATACAACCAAATGTTTCTTTTAGTCAAATAACACATTATAAAGTATTTGAAACACAGAAAAAGTCGTACCGATAACTTTGAAAGTGAAAATACTTACGTATTACTGCACTCACAATTCATGTTATGATAGCATTACTTACGTAAAAGTCCAATGCATATTTTCTATTAGCAATCGGAACAAAATTCACTCACTTTTCACTTGAAAACACTTATTTGATAAACTCATACAACGCGCGCGAGCACTTCGTTCGCCGGGAATTTTCAAACTGATATAACTCGATACCACAAACAAAAGGTCACGAGTATTATACACCAAATGAAAGAGCACACCATCAGCTTTGTTTTCACGTACAAACCATCAATACTTACAAGGATTTGGCTACACCAAAAAAATCTTTTCAAATTGGTAGTGTATGCGTATGAATTCATACGCATGCTGAGCCTACGGTAGTAGAGCATTGTGCGTATGAAAACATACGCATGCTGAGTTTAAGGGTTAATACAAAATAAAAAAAATTATTATCAGCCAAGTGTCACTGTCAATTTAGCTGTCAAAACAATATGTAACTATTGGAACAAAATGCGGAACTAAGGAAATAGAAATGGAATAGAATGCGAAAATCATAATAATATTTCCTTAACTTCATCGTTCCATTGAACAGTTATATTGTAATTTAGAAATAAATTCTGTAACAAATATAAATTTCGTCCGATACTCATGTAGGTCGAAATAGTTACAATTAATGTCGTAGTTAATTGGTGTACTTATTTGTGCAATATTGATGATTCCACAATGTTTGAGACATGTTCGAAACAATGTATGCTATTCGGGACAGTGTGTTTGGGAGTGTAAGTAGGAATATGTATAATTTTTTAATTATTATTAAAAGCACCATATATGGCTACCACCCATCCATTGTTTTTTACTTTTACATTGCAGTTTGACGATAGTAGTGTTGATACTAGAATCACATTTAGCAGATACACTATCCAGCAGCCAGCGAATGAAAAACAAGACGTTCCATAATGAACACGACTGTGGGATACATGTGCCTTACACAATCATCAGTGAATGCCACCCTTGCTCAGGTACCAAACTAATTAACAATTGTATAAACCCGTAATGCGTAAAAGTGCATAGTCACACGAAAATAATTGTCTTACTTGATTGTAAAAGAGCAATTTGACTGTGTCACAACTGTGGAATTATAGTTTTTACAGCATATATTTGTAATGCTGCTTGATGTACCACATCCCAAGATCTTTAGACCTTAAAACTTTAATTTTAAGGCCTTGCATCGTGTTTGTGCTGTTGACTGTACATATTACTTTAGTAACTTTTACAGTCAACAGCACATTAGGCCATACACTTTAGTTTGAATATCACCTCCAGTGCTATGGAACGAATACGGCAATGAGTACATATGAGTGCATATGTATTATATGTGTAGTAATACTGCAAACATGATATATGTTTACTGTGTATTTATTTTTGAGAACAACATTCCAGAATATAAAAGAAAATAAAAGGCTTTTGGCTCCAATTACTTAATTGCATTTTGCGGAGTCGCTACCCTATGTCTTTGGGGTCCCAACAGTCCTCTCTCTCTCTTCCAGAGCAAAACCTAGTAGGTTCTTTAGACAAAATTTTACAGGAGAGCCAAAAAACAAATCAAGGTTACCCTTAAACAATTTTCCTTTTAATATAAAATATGCAGTTGTATTGGAAGTAGGGTAGGGGGACATAAAAATGGCTACACCTCATATATTACATATTTTATATCTCTTACTAACGTTGCATATTTATTTCATAACACAATGTTATTACCTTACTTGCGGACATCCTCATTTTATGAGTTTTAGAAAGATAATATTCAAACAAAGTTCGTAATAAAACTCTCCACGCTGTATCTATCATAGTTTTAGAGAAACTTAGAAAATCAAGAAAAATCCATAAAAACAATAAAATCAGATTATTTCCTTTCCTGTGACGGTTTTTCTTTAAATATTTCATGTTATGATAGAAAACTACTAAAAGCACCAATAAATCCAAAAAAAAATTTCAAGCTTTCCTAGACCAAAATAAATTTTTTTCTATATTTCGTTATTTTCTCAGAAGAATTTCTACATATTAGTATTTTTTTTCAATGCGGATATGTTAATTATAGTAATAAGTACTACCACAAAAAAAACCAGAAGCAACAAACAGAGGAGTTCAGAAATATTTAATTTTCAAATTTTCAGTGACAACTCCAGTTGTCACTGAACATTTATCCTGTCTGTAAAGCGCAATATTATATATTTATATCTTACTTTACTCACTTCTTAATTTTATTTTCTTCGAGGGGACTGGTGATACAGCGGAAGTGACCCTACCCTTCAATTCTAAAGTGGCACAACATATTACAGAGGCCATTTTTCGGACATTGGCATTCCAAAAACTTGTAGATCTGATCTGATTTAAAACAGTAGAATACAACTTCCAAATAGCCGTGATTTGTGATGTTTTTAGGTAATTTTAGTAAATAGAAGCATTTTATAATAATATCGTTAAATTTGAACAAAACTTAGCAAGTATTTAATAGTAAATATTTTTTACCCTCAATTTGGGCGTGAAACTTGAGTGCTTGTGTATTTCTGGGGTGAGCCGTACATGACCCTTGATTAAAGGTCGGAAAATTGGATACATATTGTACCTACAAGTATCTTGCTGACATGGAATGCGCTTTTGTATCGGGTACCGTGTTTTGACGAACTTACGAAGTCAAGTATAAAATTGAAGGAAAGTAAACGTTATAAAGCTTTTAACAGTTTTCAACCCCAGCCAATGCACCTTATATAGAAAGAGATAATTGTAAAATAATCTAAAGGTGCGAGCGAGATAGATATACGTGCTTGTGCCCGGCAGTGTGTTATTTTGCCTTAGTTGCAGAAATCCTCGTTATGTGTTTTTTTAAAAAGATAATACTCAAACAAAGCTCTAAATTAAACTCTCCTGGCTATATCTATCATAGCTGCTGAGATTCCTGGAGGAGCTTGGGTGGCACGAGTAGGACCCTGCACCCACCACACGCAAAATAGGCGCTTTGTCGTCGAGTTGCGGATACCAGCCCGTTGCACCAAGTACCAAGATCTATCATAGTCTTAGAGAAATCTAAAAAATCGAGAAATCCCACAGAGACCATAAAATCAGATTATCTCCTTTCCTGCAAATGACTTTTCATTAAATATTTCATGTTATGATAGAAAACTACTAAAAGCGCCAATAAGTCAAAAAATTAAAAAAATATGATAATAAATATCCATTGTTTTCTGAAGACTGTACATATTTGCATGTTTTTTAACGCGGATTTGTTAATTACAGTAATAAGTGCTACCATAAAAAATCTGCGACAAACACAAGAGACCAGAAATATTGAATTTTTAAATTTTGGGTTAGGATTGTCGAAATTTGGATTATTGAAAATTAACCTACTACTAAAACTAGCCTACATGAATTTGATTTTTGCCTCACTTGTGACAGTTCGTTTGATATGAAACTATCATTCTATGCGTTATTATTCTAAGATAAAACATTAATGTACAAGGACTCCGCCCTGTGGTAGCCTAGTGTTAGCTTAAAGTGATGTTTTTGATTGAAATACATTATAATTGTTAATTAATATATTTATTGCAAGTGAAATTTTAATGTTCTTTGTAGTTATTGTTTGTTAGACAACTAACTTTTTTCAATCAATGTAATAAATTACTTGTATTTAGTATGTTTTATCAGTGGTATTTTCTTTTCTAGACTTTGAAATCAAAAGCATGAGCATAGGAGTCTGTATGGAGACAAGCTACAAGGAAGTATTAAAGTGTAAAAATGGCGAAACTATAACTAAAAGGTGAGTTTCAATAATTTCCTTATTTTAGACACATATATATGCATTTAGCAACCAATATTAGGCTATGTAGTAAATGTTTTTTAAACACAGATCCGTAAGGAAATGACGTACCTAAAGTACATTTTCTCTGAGGCATAACCCTCGAGTCATATGGCTAGTTTTACATTTTTCTCTGCGCGCTTTATTCTAGCGTGAGCGTGACCATAATATTATAAAATAGACTAGACGTAAGAAGTCGTAATTTACTTAGCAACTTTCTCTGTCCGTAATCAAATGTGCTAAGCTTGGAGCTGTAGTTCTCCAGATCGAAAAATGGTCTCGCGAACAGTTTATTTCGTCGTTGGAAATTAATCCACTTTGTAACGTTTGCAATTTTGAGACGGGCGGCGAATAAATTTTTTTCCTAACTTTTTACCTGACTAAATTTCAAATACTCAATTATGGTCGCTGCTGTCCACACACGTTTTTTCTCTTCTTGTATTCGTCTTAATTATCTTAATTTTTATTTTAAGCAAATTATTACTTTTTTCAGTTGTCACAGAGTGCCGTATCTAGAAGAGCGAGCTTACTGGAAATTCACAATATGGTCTTTCGTGATTGGCTCTATTTCGTCCCTTGCAGTCATGTTGCGCATGAGAATCCTTAATCGTAAGGCACGGATAAGAGCTAGGCAAGTGCTGAGCAATGGGTCTATCAATTGAAATGTGACATGCAAAAATTAAGTATAATAAACTTAAAATATTTAGTATGTAGTTTGATTTTCCAATTTCCCGTAATCGTCATGTAATTATATGTTTTAACAAGTAGGCATGCTTTTTGTGTCGTAATTATTGATAGAAATAATAAAATATTCCTCTAGCTTTTGTAATTTACTCTATTTATGGCTGTTATAACATGAGGCAACTAAAGTTGAGGCTTTTGAATGCTCGTAAAGCTTTACTGCTGCCCGGCTAAGTGACAAATTTTTTTTTAAGATATCACAAAATATCATAACCCAGTTTTGGAATATTGAAATTGTTTGATTATATTTATTTAAGTTTGATAAGTCAAACACGTTAACTAATTTTAACTGTTTTTAAATGACAATTTTGCGCTTTATTTTTTGCTATTTAAAACGGTTATTTGACCATTTGTCACTTAGACGCGTTTTAGTTAGTGGATATCAGTTTAGGGGTCGTATTCTGAACTATACTCAACGCTCAAGTCAAGACTTGAATATGATTCAAAGCACTAGAAATCATACTCAAGTCCTTGCCATTAGGGTCGTATTTCCAATGCTTGAAATCATACTCAAGTCTGCTCAAATCCTGACTTGAGCATTGAGTACAGTTCTGGAATACGACCCTTAGACTGTTGACTCCACTTGCACTGCTTAGTTCCACTAGTAGGTCCAGCTAGCAGCTAGCGGTCTAGAGTTTTTATTATGCACTGCTTAATACGAGTGAACAGATTAGGTTTTGTGAGTACTTTTACCCCCACTTCTAATGTAAAAATATATCGTATCCACTTCTCGGAATTAATTCATACAAAATGGGCATTGTTTAGAATAATTTTGTTGAACGTACACAACATTTTTTTTAATATTTTAATTTAGATTTATATACTTAATATAAAATAAAATTTCAATTAATATGTGCCACAAGTTCTTTCCAAAGCCAGACCACATACATCCTGGTTAAATAAAAAGCCAACATATTATTATAATTTAAATATTAAATTAATTATCACTGTCGATTTATGTAATGATCAAACTGCTGTACTCAAGTTCATAATTTTAGTAACATTGGTTTGCTCACATAATTATAAATACACGGTCGTGTGCCAACAGTCAGTACGCCATCGCCAGTGCTCGAACCTGCCGATTTTTCGGTATTTCTACCGATTTGGCGCTTGTCCGACCGAAGCTTGCAAACGTGCAACCTGTGCCAAAAAAGGGAAGTAAAGTTGACCCTGTCAACTATAGACCTATCTCAGTCACTTCCATACTGTACAAGACTATGGAACGTGTACTCAACAACCGTCTCCTATCGTACCTTGAAGACAACGACCTCCTCAACAGTGATCGCCAGTACGGATTCCGACGAGGGCGATCTACTGGGGATCTTGTGTATGCCTGTCACATATGGAGCGAGGCTATAGAAAAACAAGGCGAAGCACTTGCAGTGTCTTTGGACATTTCTAAAGCCTTTGACGGGGTCTGGCACGCAAGCCTTTTAAGTAAGCTTCCCTCTTATGGACTTCCCACTGACCTTTGCAATTGGATCTCGGATTTCTTGAGCGAACGTTCGTATCAAGTGGTCTTAGAAGGCTACTCTTCCGAACATATGGCGATAGATGCCATTTCTGAGTTGAGTTCCTCAGGGTTCCGTACTGTCTGCAACTCTCTTTCTGCTGCATATCAATGATATGTTAATTCCAGGTACCTTCGCGTATGCTGATGACAGCACAGTTGTAGATAGGTACTTGACCAATGCAAGGGTCAGTGGAGAGGAAATCCTGTCTTGTCGACAGTCCATGGTTAGCCTATCTTGTCAAATTTAATGCTACCAAAACGCAGGCGTTATATCCATACCGATAGCCGACTGTCTCCAGCTTCTTGGAATGGACCTGTCGTCCAATTTGAACTTCGGCAGAAACATTGAATCCATGGCCAAAAACGCAGCAAAGAAGCTTGAGATCCTTTCCAGGGTGAGACGTTACTTTACACCGGGACAGTTGCTTCAGCTGTACCAAGCACAAGTCCGATCGTGCATGGAGTACCTACTGCTGCTACCTTTGCGATGGCTCTGCTACATATCAACTGGCCACTTTGGATTCAACTGACAACCGTGCCAAGAGGCTTATAGGTGACTCAGAATTAGTGGAGGCGAAGCTGCAGAGCCTTGAACACCGCCGTAGAGTAGTAGTGTATTGCCTGCTTATCGATATTTTACTGGATATATCACGGAGAGTGTGTGATGGAATTACACGATTTAATTCTGCTTTCCCCTTTCCATCACCGGGGGACTTGGCGTAGGCTTGGGTTCCACCCCTATGTTGCGGATATTCCAAAGATTCGCACGAAGCGTTACACATCCACATTTATATGGCGAACGGCTATGGAGTGGAATTCCCTGCCTGCAGACTTGTTCCCTGAACGTTATAACTTGGGTCTTTTCAAGGCGAGAGTGAATAGTCATTATTTAGGTGTGCATGCTCCATCGTTGACGTCATCGTCACTTTCCATCAGGTGAGATGGAGATGGATGAGATGGATTTCATAAAAAAAAAATTACCGAAATGGAACGATTTTTCTACGGTTTTTTTTTTAAAGTAAGTAATTTCTTCCGATTTTCAGCAATCCCAGTCGATACCCCTAGTTTTTTATCTTTTACAGGGATTCCCTACTGTTCAAACGTCGATCGATGTATAACCTAAACGATTTATTTGGGGAATACTCTTGTGTCCAAAAACTTACCATTGTAGGGGATTCCCTGAGCAAATTTGTAGTCTATATAAATAAGAATTCGGATTTCTTCTCTCATTTATTTTTAAATTTGATTGAAGTGGTTGGTTGTTAGGTTTGGTGTTCTCTCAATGAAAATGATAGGTAAGCCCGTCTAACTGTGAATAGTTTTAATATCATATATATGATATCATTACTGAGTTAAATACCATTCTTACTTTATAATATAGAAATATGTTATTTTTTGGATTTTTTTAATTTATTGATTTTAGTTTCAAATGTACAGATTTTACGTAGCAACCTTATCGATTTCGCATTTGGATGAATTTCACTTTCCGAATTTCAATGGCACGTTTTGAGTGATTTTTGTAAAACCCTGTTTTTTGTTTTAACGTGCCAAATAAGTTCAAACAATGTCAATCATTATTGTGAAGTAAAATACAACAAAAAACGATATTTTAGGTCATACGAATGAGATTGCAGGAACACGAATGATTTTCTCATAAACATAAAAGAGAGGCACAGTCATGAGAAATTATTATTACAACACACATTTTGACGTTGACAAAAGAACATTTAACATGTAACAAATATTTTAATGTCACTTCTTGTATCAAAATCCTTCTCATCCGTGTAAGCCCATCTATAATGTAATAAATAAATAAATCTAAATAAGTATTTTGATAATATCATATAAACTTTATTGTACATCAATATATCATTATCATAATCATCATTATCATCAGCACCATTACCATTCATATCATCATCACAATCATCATCTACTCATCACCTGCCTCTGTGGCCGAACGGTTACCATGCCGGACTGCCACGCAGAGGTCCCAGGTTCGATTCCTACATTCATTTCTCTCGTGAGTTTGGGTGTAATTCGTGGTTGTCTATTTGTGTCCACGGCACCCGCGACACAGGGTTTCCCTAGTGCGGGGCTATATTGAGTGTGTGTGCTATTATTATCATCATCATCACCATCATCAACATAATCACCACCATCGTCATCACCAACACCATCATCACCACGGTCATCACCACCATTATCTATCACCCTCTAATTGTTATATTTAAAGTAAATGTTTTGGCTTAAAGCAACTATCAGCATCAAAGTAGTCAAGAATGAGAGCGACAAGAATGATATTTGGATACATTTTTAGTTTTTATTTAGTTCTTTGTCTATTTGATGTACAATAAAGTTTATAAGATTATTACTTAATTCTTATTTAGATAGATTGCTTTACATAAATAAGAACGATTTAGTCACTGCTGCTGCGCTGAAATTGGTATTTAAGTCGATTTTTTGCTAAAACGGAGATGCACAGGTTACTTCACTGTGTACACTGCAATCCGACAGGAGCCCTTTCTCACGTGTACGAAGGGTAAAGGTGATGCGGTATGAACTTTTGTTATTAGGAGGCTTTTAGTTGAATTAACACTAATGATAAGAAAAATTTAAACACCTTTTGTATTCCCAAGAAAACATATTTGTTTATAATAAATTGGAAAATTACGGTATGTATTCGATGTGAAATTTATTAGCTTATTTTCGATGGAAAATATTGCGCTTTCCACAAGTGTATAATTTTATTTCTTCTTTTCTTAAAATTAGGGAGACGTGGAACCGGCTCTCATGAATGAGAAATTAACCACTTTTTAAATTTCATTTATTACTGTGGCGTAGTAAAGTAGTATTTTTATATGTAACATAGACCAAGTAAACAAGCAATCATATTAAATAAATAATGCTTAGTATGCATATAATAATATAAAAGTTATTGATTGGGACACATTTTTTGAGGTTATCTGAAAACGACCCATTTTGACTTTCGAGACCACTGCAGTACGCGGAATTCCGTAAACTTGATCTCGGTCCGCCATTACATTTTCGCTTTGTACGCTATGGTCGCGTCAATTATAGTCATAGTATATACCATTTATTGATTTTTGTTGTACAAAACGCCCTAAAGCTATTATTATTACATTCCAACATAAACTCTGTAAAGGGCAATGCAATTAACTTATATTTCTATACTAATATTAATAATACAAATAGATACACATAATATCGTGTACTTTTACCATTGACTTACAAATAAATAAGTCAATGACTTTTACTATCAAAATACTCCTTTAAGTCATAGAAACAGTTCGACAGCAAGTAACTTTTCAGAGTTTTTGCGAACACGTAATTTATTTTCAATGTTTCTTATTATTCTAAGAGGTATTTTGCTATAAACTTTTATTGCCATATTGTGTGCACCTGAGCTAACAATATCTAAATTTGTAAAAGAACTAATCAGCAACATAAGGATTATCACTTTCTTGTTCAAATAAGTGCCTGTATTTTCTTACAAACTTACAAATTTCAAGACATAATATATTGAATACGAAGTTAAAACGTTTAAACTCCAAAATATGGTCTTCAAGTATCTGTTTCCGTTATGTTTACTGTCATGTATTTCTTCTGCAGAGTAAAGAGGTTGCTGGCATGAGCACTATTACCCCACAAAATGACACCATAAGTTAGACAAGAAAGTGGGCTAACCCCGATTCGTCCCCTAGTTTGCCACCCTAGAGGTGGAATATATCCTTCAAATTTAAATGGGACCAATACTGAGGTACCCTCTTTCCAAAAAAAAAAAGAAAAATCAACATCGGTTCACAATTAATATTTGTTGTGTTATCGCGTAACCTACCTACATACAAAAAAAAATACAGGCGAATTGAGAACCTCCTCCTTTTTCTTAAGTCGGTTAAAAATTAAACCGTCATAACTTGCAATAATATGTATTGATAGGATTACACTTTCAATGATATGCGATATGTCAACTGTTTAAATTATTTAATTTTTTTGTTGAATTGATATTTACTAAATAATTATTATACATATAATTACTCCACTAGTTTGTTATAATTATAAATACAAAGATCGAACACTTAAAAAAATTTCCTTCGATTCGGCCGAGTTCGAACCAACGTCTTCTAGCAAACCATGACAGAAGTTATACCAACTAAGCTACGGAACGAACTAGCTGACCTCACGAATTTGGTTTATCAACAATTTTTTAGGCGTAGCGCCATCTATGAAAGTATTTCATCACCCAATTAGATACCTTTACAGCTACCATCCCCGGCTAGAGATTCACTGTATTCAAATTTTTTGTTGAATTGATATTCAATTATTTTTTATGTAAAATTACTCAACTAGTTTGTTATAATTATTAATACAAAGATCGAACACTTAGAAAAAAATCCTTCGAGCCGGCCGGATTCGAACCGACGACTTCTTCTAGCAAACCGTGCCAGACGCTATGCCAACTAGGCCACGGAACGAACCAGCGGACCTCACGAATTTATCTATGTGCTTGTCGTATCTTTGTATTTGGTTTTTCAACGACTTTCACCATAGCGTTAGCGTAGACTAGCTTAAATTATATCATCATCATCATGTCAGCCGAAAGACGTCCACTGCTGAACATAGGCCTCCCCCAAAGATTTCCAAACCAGCCGACCGGACGCACGTGCATCCATCGGTTACCAGGTCATCCGTCCATCTAGTAAGGGGCCGTCCCACTGAACGAATTTAAATTATATTAACAGTTTGAAACTACGACCTACGACCACGAGCGACTACGAATCATTATCTAGATTTTATACTGTATCAAATTATGAATAAGTGAGTTTTGGCGATTGCGGTTCTGGGGGTCTACTCCTAGTAAAAACAATACTTAGACGCAAGATGGGAATGGAGATTCGTGCTTTACACGGTCTTTTCATTTAGTCGAGTATAACATAATTGACAGTAATTGTTTCGAACGGAGAACGGGGATTAGACTCCCTGATAATAATCAAAGTAATCGAGGCAGGCACTTCCATTGTTTTTTCTTCGTGGGTTTAATTTATCATTATTACTTGCTGATTTAACTTCATGGTTGTCAATTACGTCGCTAGAAGTCGCAAGTTGTTCCTTCCGGAACTTTGATCACGTCATTTCTAATAATTAAATAGTCGTACGTAGTCCATAATATTCATTCAATTTTGCTATTTAATAAGTTGATTATTAAATACTGATAATATGTAACGATATTTAAAATATTGTAGTTGTAACTAATCCTTTATTCAAATTTGCAATGTGTAATAATTCATCCTGAGTTCCTATTTTATCATTACTGACAGTTGAAGCAAGACCTAAAAGTACCTCATGCTTTGCCCAAGTGGAGGACGGATCTGGACACCTCGACATCAAAATGACGACATGAGTCCATAAATTTCTTACTCTCACTTGTTAAAACTAAAATCATTGGGAATATAAGTTCTTGAAAATCCTGCTGGACCAACTTGTAGAATCAACACAGTCCGCAAGGTAAATAATGAAGATATAAATAAGCATTATTTATTAATCAAACAATAATTTTAATAATTCACATATAATTGTAACGTTAACACTGTTACCTAACAATCTATAACACTGTTTATTAGAAGTATTCTTAGGAAAAGTATAATATTTTGGAAACGACATTAAAGACAACACTTCGTTTGGTGTAAAGAACCGCAACTTTAAATCTCTTAAACAATCAACAAATTCTGCGCTACCTACTTTAAATGTATTTGCTTTTTCATAACATATTTTAACTATTTCTGGGCTGGCTTCAGTAAATACAGATCCAGTACCTTCAACATAATTCGAATAGGCTTTTGTAAAACAACAAGAACGTCGCGAGTTTCTGTAACAAATGTCGAATATATTTCCACGCTTCAAATGTTTATCAGGTACAAGAAACTTGTCTGTTTGACAATTCTCTAGAATTGTTTCTATAGAATATGGTTCACCATAATTGGTAGAAAGAGTGTCCATCTGAAATTCAAAGAATACATGTTAGTTTATTTAGTATATTTTTAGTGTTGCGAAAATAGCCCTTCACACCATACCATAATTATTTACAAAAGTAATTTTGTGTAGTGCAAATTAAAGCTTTTATTTTATAAGTAAAGCTCTAGGTACTCAAAGATTTACACTTTTTTTTTATTTTGCAATTATTAATTATACGAATATAAATTAATTATAAATATAATTATTTTTAATTGCAATGATTAGTTATGTCCTTGGTTTTTTACCACTACATTTTTTAATGAATTTATACCAATTTTTATTTTTTATGTACTTAACTATAGTCTGTGTCAAGAGGCCTTTGCCTGGAAGTGGGACCCACTATTAGATCAAATTACGAAAGATACTTACAATACCATCTTTTGTTTTAAAATTCCAAGTTGAGTTTCTTCTGGCAATACAATAGTATCTAAGCCTGGAGTTAGGGACACCAACAGTGGACGGACTCAGTAGAAACTCTTGATAATTAAACTTGCATTCTTTTAGTTTATCAATAAATATATCTCTTACAGAGGAACATTCAAATCCTTTAACATTTTCCATAAGAATATATTCAATACATTCTAATTTCTTTAAAATACTTATCAGGTATTGGAATGAATTAGTTCTAGAGTCATTTTCATCCAAGTACTTGCCATTTCTTGTAAACGGTTGGCATGGCGGTGACATTAAAATAGTGTTTACATTTAATTTATTTATTTCTCTAGCACTTAGTGATTGGATATTTCGATTTAGAAGGTTCGTTTGAGGAAAGTTGTGTGCGTATACTTTGTTAGCAACTGTGTTTATATCAACGGCTGCTACTATTTCACCAGGTAACTTTGATTCTGAAAAAAGGCAGATTAAAAGTTTATTTATTTCATTTCAAAAATAGAATTGTGTTTATATAAAAATATTACCATTCCAAGCACAGTGCATGCCTCCGATCCCGCTGTAAAGTTCTAATGTCTTGTAAAACATGTTGAGGATTATAAGGATTAGGAAGGAATTCTTATAGAAAGAAACGAACTATAAAACTGTCCACTTATTTTGAAGGAATGATAATAGATAATGACTGATTTTTTACAGTTTGAGATTTTGTTGTTGGGGTTAAAATAAATTAAAACTTAGAATAAATGTCATACATACAGGCACAAATTAGAAAGAACCACAAACCCACTAGAGGTGGGTGATAAATAACGTCACGATGAAAAAATCACGATGGTCCGCCGCCAAACAGTATCACTGTGTCTCGTTCCGAAGGAACGACGTACCAAAATCACATAGGTCCTCCGTTCCAATAGCTATCCCCGTCACGACATACGTATTTGATACAATGCGCGATCTCCGTTCCGTGGTGACTGAGCGCGCCACTCATTGTAGTTCTCTTCAAATCGGGCCATTTCGGCGATGGGAGTGAATGAAATAGGATGACTTTCTTTGCTCACTCAGAAGGGTCGTAGGTACTACTAGAAAGGGCGGATGAAAAAAATCTGCAGCAGTAATTATAAACCTATTTATGAACAAAGTAAAATATTTTTGTATATTTGTTTTATTATAGGAAGAGTTGGTATTTTATATGTACCGGGTGTAACAGAAAGGTGTGGTCATATTAAAGGACCCAAATGTACACTTGATTTAGACCCTGTGTGCAAAATATCAAATAAAAATAAGTGACTTTTAATGTTGATATAAGTTTAATTATGATTGTATAAATAGTGATTGTCCGAAACAACCACTGCGTCACAACTCTATTGCTAGTTACGTTACTACGACTTCACAAATTCATTCATGAAACCTGGGCGGCCGCAAGCGGGGCGAACAGCTGACTACAATTGAAATGCCATTGTAAAAACATGATTTGAATATGTTGATAATACGTTAATATTAAGTAACAAAATCTTTAAATACCTAGAAAAATCGAATCATTTCTAACAATATTATTTTATGCCATACCTAGGTACGCGTACGTATTTATTTACATACAATTTAAAGAATATTTATTTACTTATTAAGCCCGTAGTTACGCACGCCTTCATCGTATACACATTCTACATAGTTTAGTATTAATACATTTATTTACGACAATTTTACAATGGTGGATACTTTTTTAATTGGTACTTACCTACTGTTCAATTCATACACGTTTTAATGAATTTCCTACGAATTGTAATTCACTGTTGTACAATGTACGAAATATTGACTTGTTTACGATAATTTTGAATAATAAGCACAATCACTGCACGCACTGCTGGCACATTTCACACATTTACAGGTAAGGTTCAAAATGCCGACCTCCATGCAATATGCATATGTCCGTGTGTCGGTACAGAGACTGCTCTACTCTTTGAAGCATCTGCCGAGTGATTTGACTAAATGCCATTTCGATCCGCTGCCTCATTTCTTCTGCGCTTTCACAGGACTCCGCATAAACAATATTTTTTATATGATCCCATAAAAAAAATCGAGCGGTGTCAAGTCTGGGGACCGCGCTGGCCAGGGTGCAGGACCTCCCCGTCCAATCCACTGCGGGAAACGGTCGTTCAGATGGGAACGTACATTTCGAGCAAAATGTGCGGGTGGTCCATCGTGAGACTCGAACGTCATCCAAGTCTTCTGTTAGGAATCTTAAATAATTGGCCCCGTTCAGACTTGCCGGCAAAAACACTGGACCGATGACGGCACAACCTATTATACCAGCCCACACGTTAATCCGCCACTGGTGTTAAAAATTTGATTCCCTTGATACGCGGGGATTCAAATGAGTCCAAAAATGTTCATTATGCATATTGATAATGCCCGCACGCGTAAATGACGCCTCGTCTGTCCACAGTACCGACGAAGCGAAGTCGGGAGACCTCCCAATCTGGTCGCGGTCGTAAACGTAACGGAACGTGGATCATAGTCCGCTTGTAACAGCTCCTGCGTTCTTTGAAAATGGTATGGGTGCTGGCCATCATCCCGTAGCACACGCCACACACTCATATGGTTCACACCACCAAAGGCTGCTGCAGCACGACGAGTACTTGTCTTTGGATTGCCGAGAAAATGTTCCAAAACATCTGCCTCGAATTCTGGGTCTCGTGAACTCGGCCGGCCTTCAGAACTGGAACCACGGAACGATCCACTATTATGAAGTCTCATAACCATCTTCCTGAAGCATTCCAGTTTAGGAAATGGTCGACGTCGATTTTCTGGGACGCCATCAATAAACTTTGCCCAATAAATTTGGCGAGGCTGGCGCAAGCTCCCATCGGCTGCGCCTACGCACAACATCATCTCATTGTAATCACTATTGCTTAAGCGTGACATAGTTTAAATAAACACAAAAACGAGACACAAACAAAACGATGACACCTATTTAGTCCTCACAACGCAAACGGCAATTACAGACTGTTACAAAAAATAAAAAAATAGTGCCTCTGCCTCAGCGGCGGCACATCAAAGGACGCCGACTGAAACGCAAATTTTGGAATATAGGGTAACGTTTTCATAATGTACCTACAGGGTGAAATTAAAATTATTACCATCCTTTTAAAATAAGACCCTTCTCATGATACAAATTACATCATTACATACACATTAAACGAATACCTATATCCTACGTATCTACGACCTTCAACGTTGCACTGCATACGCTTTTGTTTGTAAACATAACTCTGACCATCACCCGTACCACTTCCACACAACGCAAGAACTGACTGGGTGATTACGGATATACTGCACTAAGGAGGCAGTCACCCATCGGAAACCCACGACGTTCGAAACGAAAGCCTAACACACTAACCACTACACCATGGAGGCAGTCGACTATAGGAATCAAATCCACGACCTCCGAAACGAAAGCCTAACACTCTAACCACTACACCATAGAGGCAGTCGACTATGGGAATCAAATCCATGACTTCCGAAAAGAAAGCCTAACGCTCTAACCACTAGACTATGGAGGCAGTCGACTATGGGAATCAAATCTACGACATCCAAAAAGAAAACCTAACGCTCTAACAACTACACCATAGAGCCAGTCAACTATGAGAATCGAATCCACGACCTCCGAAACGAGTCTAACATTAACCACTACTCCACATCACGATGTATAAAATCAAATGCTGGCGGCGAAAATCAAAGGTGATATTTTTGCCGCTAAAGTTGCCGCCAAAGGCTTGCAACTTCGCTACGATTACGTATCGCGTACGCAAGGCGACTAATCTTGATACTTTGTTTATTTAGGTAAGATTTTTTTATGGTTTTACACTATTGCTAATTTAAACTATTCTAAAATGTTTCTTTAGATGAGTAGATATTATTAGGAAGTAAGAGCCTTAATAGGTTCAACGATGTTAATTATTTTTAATTTCACCATGTAATAAACCCATACACAGAAAGTTGTCGTGTGTAGATAAGTCAAATTAAGCGTAAACCTGTTGTTAGAAACATGTGCTCAGCAATAGACGTATGTAAGTTAGTAAAGTACTATTTTTTGCACAAGGTTTAGTCCACTACACTTGCATAGTAAGTACTAGTTGGAGACTTGACATTTTCGCATCTTTGAAGATTTCGGCAATTATCTCCGAAATGCAAGTTTTCTCACGATATTTTCATTTCCAAGCAAGTGATGAAAATTATAATAATTAATTCGTGGTCAACGATCAAAACTAATTTCTTGACGTTTGCCGACCTTCAGGTTGCACCTTTACGATGAAAGTGTCCCAATACAAAATTTCAACTTTTTGGGAATACGCAAAATAAGATTCAAGTTGTGACATTTTCATATTATTTTATTTATTACTCTTGAAGTACTAAAGGTGATGGCCTTATTAGTCTTTGAAAATAATGAGGAAAAATGGAACTTTACAACTGAAAATTGTTTCTGATCATTTTAATGTTGAACAATTTAAAAACATAATTTACAAAAACTAGTCGCCAATAGGTCTTTTTTTAACGATTTTTTGTTATCATTTAACGTATTAAGAATTAAGTCTTTTTAATGTTCATCAGCTAAGCAAGATGTCATAACCCTTGATATTGTTTTGTGATCCCTGTTTCACAATTAAAAAAGAAGAAAGTCCACGAAACAAAAAAGTCAGTCCCTTTAAAAAGTAAGTTAATAAAAAAATATTTTTTTTTTTAAATATTAAGCGACGGGTCGAACAAGTCGTGTACCCGGTGGAAAGCATCACGCATGTCCATAACAGTAGCACTGCCGCTCGAAGGTTACTGTTACGGCGTCCATCTCTCTGAGACATAGTTGACAAGTCCCATGTGCCTGTAATTTCACCAGCACCCTTACCCTTCAAAACTGTAACACGGTAAAGTGGCAGTACTACCCTGGACGAACTCACAAGGAGCTCTACTGCTACTAGTGATTTTTGAATATGATTTTCGGAACGAAAATGGCTCAAATGCTAATCCGTCACTGGCAGCGTGTTGTCTTTGCAAATGCAGATTCAACAATAAATGCGGCGTTAATATCTCGACGCGGGAGTAGAATTTTTAAACTGAAAGAACAAAATGAAAGGGACCTTTATGAATCACTGCTATTCGAGCTTTAATTGCACAATTTCATCTTCACCACAGTGTGACTAATGTAACAAAATATTTTTTTAAGATGGTTTTACGGTATAAACTCATTTTTAAATTTTTTGATTTGGGTCACTTTCATTGTAAGGGTGCGAAGTATTAGTCGGATGATTGCGTCATATTGCGTCATGCGTTAGAAGAAACATACCGACTGATTCACTAGCTGCCATGCGTTAGAACAGTACCGGCGGATAGACAGAGACAAATTTCATTCATTAAAATACAATAGATGAATGCGTATTATTACATATGATATGGTAAAAAGAAAAGAGATAACTTTAAATATGTGTTTTTTAGAGGACATTAGTTTTATTAATGGATATTAAATGGAAATTTGTGTATTTTGTATGTTTGAAGATATGAAGTTAACGAAATCATATTACGTTATTATGTACTAAGTTTTAAATAATAGTTTTATTATGAAGTAGTGTATTTTGGCAAAGTAATCGATAATATTTATTTTTCGTTAAATGTTCACACGCATATTACATTAATAAAATAATAATAAATTTAGTAAATTATAACATAGTAATAAGAATATGGCATTAAGTACTTTATCATTTACAATAACACGCCTGAATTTCACAATTTTTTCAAGTTACGTAATTTGGTTGTATTATGATACTCAATAGAGATGTGATGTGACTATTTATTTTCGTTAAATGACATCAGCTGATCGCAACTGTTCATGGCGAAATTTCCATAAATAACGTAGTGTGTACTAAAACAACTTTGCTAACTAGTTTCATACCATTAACTGAATCCGACCTTCAAATATGACCACACCTTTCTGTTACACCCTGTATATATGTATAATCTACTTTGTGTATTCTACTAGGAGTATAATTACATTACACTTTATTGCTATTTTTAACAATCCAAAGATTCGCATTAAATAAGTAACAAACAAAATTACATTAAATACAAAATCAACTTTTTGAATGGAATTGAAACTTATTACAAAGGGAGTAAAAACTTAAATCATTGTATAAAAAACGGCTATAAGTATTAGAAAGAAGCCGCTGGTTAAAACCGTATATCGTGATGTAAGTTATAGGCGTGACAAGGTCACGGAAGTAACAGTCGTGACAAAATCACGATGATTTATCACTGTGATTTTTTGGAACCGGAACGACAGTCACGGCGATAGAAATGTAACGCTATTCCCCATGTCTCAAACCCACAAACCACTAGAATGGAAAAAAAAAATGCATAATAGTGTACTATGGTACGCCGTCTATGGTCTATGAGGTAATATTTTTTAATGAACTGACTATAGAAGTCTTTAGTATTTACGCCAAGCATTTACACTTAACAAATTATAATTCAAACGATTAAAATATTTAATCTGTTGTATTGCAGGCATGTATAGTAAACTACAGTCAACAGCAAATCTAGTTTGATATTTTGGAGTGTTTCGGTAAGCGTCAGAGTAAATAAGTGAGCTTGATGTGCTTTTGACCATGCAGTACGATTTCATTTTACTTGTTTTTATAAATAAAAAAATGGTAATAAATACAATTTAAAAAATATTTACAATGCAATTCTATAAAATAAAATAAAATTTAAAATTTAATTCGATGACTTTTTTTATTACCGTAAAGGTGCGGTTCCGGAGAAACTGTGTCGGTTTCGGTAAATTTCTTTTTATTTTACAACTGAAAAAACTACATTACCGTACTATTATTTTGTCTTTCCTAAAACGAAAGAATTTTTTAAAGTTTTCTAAATAATTGGCACCACATGATCGCAAAACCATAGACAACGGTTAAAGGGAAATAAGTAATAATATCATGGAATCCTTATCACGAAACGGTAAGTAGCAACATTTTTTAACTAACCAGTGTGTGAAAAAAAAAATCAGTCATGGCGGATCCAGAGTTGGGGGTGGACGTGTCAAACGGAGTTGACCTTCGAAATGCCGATTCGAAAGACCAAGTATATCTCGAAGAAACGTTTTATATACTTTCGAAAAAGAATTCGGTGTTTCGAGTCAGATTAACATCGAAAGGCTTATCTTTAACAAAAGAAACGGACGGAAAGGCAAAGGAACAAACAATCGTATTGCGCGATATCATCGGTAGCAAGTGCATGCGAAGCAAAAAACGTCGTCCAGGAGCTGGCTCCTGTGTATGCAGCTCACTTGTGGGCCAGCCCCAGCTCAAAGTTGTGGAAGAAAACAGCGGGGACTTGGACGAGAACGATATAAGTGCGTACCTATACATTTATGCTTATATTTTGAAACGGAGTCGACGCACCTTGAAAAGAGAGCGGACAACAATAACATTGCGGTTCAGGTCCTTCGATAAATATGAGGATAACAACAAGGAGGCTCAAAAGTGGCGGGCGACGATAAAGTGTTTGATAACGGGCCAACCGATAACGCACATGCCGCCTTCAAACGATAAGAGGCTGTTGTTACTATTGAACCCTAAATCGGGGCCGGGAAAAGCGAGGGAAATGTTTCAGTCAAAGGTCTCGTCTATGCTGCAGGAGGGTGAGGTTCCTTACGACCTTCATGTAACGAAGTACGCTGAATTTGCGCGGGAATTTGTCCGGACGAGGAATATTTACAATTGGCGTGCAATAGTTGCTATTGGAGGCGATGGAGTCCTTTTCGAGGTAGTCAATGGCATGTTTGAGAGGCTGGATTGGCAGCAGGCTTTTCAGGAGATCCCTCTTGCCATATTACCCTGTGGCTCTGGTAATGGCCTAGCCAGATCGATTTGCCATCATTACAAGTAAGTGTAACTTACTTTTTGGTTATTATTTGTATTTCCTTGACCTGTATGCTTGCTTAAGTTTTAACTTTTTAAGCAAGTAGTTGATAATATCAACATTTTATATGTATAGATGTCTTTTAAAATCTTGCTTTTTTAATTGTGACAACGTAAATGCAAAGTACCCCTTCCGGTAGGTAGGTTATCTGTTAAGACAACAATTTTAATGATAATATAGAGGTATTTTGTAAAATTTTCCACATAATGGATACTTGTAAGGGCGCGTTCCCACTATGTCGGCACGTTTTATTATCGTTGGACGACTGTCGTGTCTAGCCTGTTCCCATATTACGACTATCTGTCGTGGACGATTTTTTATCGTTGAACGACTGTCGTGACTAGCTGTTCACACTAGATCGTGACGACAATTTATCGTTTCACGACAGCCTCCTTGTCGTTTCCACGACAGAATCGTTTGATGCACTGCAATCGCTTGTATGTTCTTTTGGAAGCCGGTAGTGTGTGTTCGCTCGAAATGGATGAAGACGAAATTTTAATATATATTTTTTTAAATTAAAGTTTATTGATGAACTGAAAAGTGACGATAGAAAATTTTGGGACTATTCAAGAATGACAATTTCCACATTTAATAGTCTATTAACACGACTTACAGAGCACATCACAAAAGAAAACACAATGTATAATTAAATTTGAACAAAACACAATTCACAACAAATATTTAGACGTAACTAGTTTTTGCCCTAGATTTCGGGTTTTAATCGGATTTAATCCTGGCGTTAACACAGCGCCGGGTTAAAATCAGGGCGCTTGCCCATCTCTGGCTACGACCCAACGCTAACGCAAAGCGAGCTGAGGGCGCGGGGTACGAGTGGGGAGGGCAGGGAGCAGAATACCTGCGGACAGCAATAAATAAAACGTGACGACAATAGGAGCTGCGACAATCTGTCGTCACGTTTTTATCGTCCGACGACTGTCGTTCTAGCTGTTCCCACTGTGACGACAGTTTGTTTTTGTAACGATAAAAAATCGTGAACGACAGTTAATCGTGTCGTGCTATATGTGAACAACTTCATTTAAACATACAAGCCACGACACTGTAAACTGCACGACAATCTGTCGTCACGACATAGTGGGAACGCGCCCTTACGAATTATAAAAAGTTTTTTTTAATATCTACATGACCACTGTAGCGGACTGTATCAATGGGGTTCAGGTGGGTGCTATTGAGGGGTGAGCAAGACCAAAGGAAACGTACTTACTGTTTATTTTCACGACAACGCACAGCTATCAATCAAAACAGAAACAATGGTGACAATACTAAGTATTGGCGCCAAAAATAACTACATTTAAATTAAGAATTTGAATATAAAATGAAACTTAAAAAGACTATATAAAATATATAAAATAAATAGGAAATGAAACTATTTTTCCGGATTTAAATCGCGTATATTTGTTTTTTCAAACAAACCGACGTTCATTTTCGATTTTTCAGTCAACCGTGACCATGGGACCTGTAAAGGGCCCGAACGTCGGTTTGTTTGAAAAAACAAATATACGCGATTTAAATCCGGAAAAATAGTTTCATTTCCTATGTGTAATAATCGTGAAAACCTAAGAACTCGATATATAAAATAAATATACAAAAAAGATTCGCTAAATCATCCGGACGGAGAAAAGGATGGGACCACCTATACGGTGATTGGATCCTCAGATCCTACGGAGTATAGGCTCCGTACTATTTACTTTATTTACATATTATATTATACTATTGTTATGACAAAAAATGCATATAGATGCATCTTAATTAATTTCTTTAGAGGCCGACGTAGGGTGCTGCCGCGAGTCGCCACGTCAGCGACCCTGACCGGATCGGTCTCTACCAGGATAGAGTTGGAATACTCTACCCTCGGGCCACACACTTCTAGGTATCGTATCATCGGCGATGATTACCAAATCTCCTACATTCTGAGGTATTTGGGGAGTTCCAGGAGGTCGCCTTTGAATGACAGGTAGTGCCTCCTTGATCCACTTGTCCAAAAGTGGTGAGCCATATGAAGGGGTTTCTCCCACTCTACCATGCGTATGAGGTCATGGTCATCTAAACCTATGATGGTTGGATGACAAAAAATTAAAAGGAGTGAGTGTTTGGTCTTAGCGACTGCTGCGATTCACTACGACCATATCGTAAACTATAATTCTGTTTTATTTTTCTAACAAAATATGTTTTGTGAAAAGGCAGTACTTTGGTTATGACAGTTATGAGTTATGACATTAACACAATAATAGAAGTCATGCCAATAATTTACATCTCGATTCTCACTGTCAATGAACCGTGAGACCATATGAGACATAATCTCAGTACAGAGTACTAAAAAACCGACCTCAAAAGTACGTGGAATTACATATAATTACTAACTTTTATTGAAATCGGTTACCGGAAAGTGCGCAAACCCGGATTCATGCCCTAGTTCGCCACTATATGGGACTTGACACAGGAGATAATAAAAATCGGTTCTCGCTACTCAAAGTATCTTGAGGGAGGAAAACACCTTGAATTGGAGAATAGGAAATCAACCATTAAAATAATTGCTCCTTGTAATGAAATTTAGGCGCTATTTATAAAAATGAATCTTCATGCGTGAACAGCCACCCTTAGAGGTGAACGATTTTCTTCAAAATTAAATGGAACCACTGTGGAGGTCTTTCCAACAAAAAAAGAATCATGACACGTTTGACGTTTGAAGAAAACTATATAGTTATTTTTTAATTATTTTTTTATCCGAGGGATTCTATATTACTTTCTCGACACAGAATCTCATTAAGCCACATCATACAAGTCTTCATGTTCATGCAATAAAAGTGAGAATGACGTTTCGGGCAATCGCTTCGGCTCGGGTCGCCGACGCGAAATGCACTATGTCTTTTTCACTCTTATTAAATGAACATAAGCTTTTGCTGATCGATTCAAACCGATTCCACGTTAATAAGTGTGGTGACTCCCTCCCTTGTCCTGTGCGATTCTGACAAGATTCTTTATACCTACTTGAAGGTGAATATATTGTAGCTGCATTTGAAACGTACCAGGCACTGAAGAATAAGAAGGAAATTTTATCTATTTCTTTTTACCTAAAGCAAATAGATATTTCAAGTATAGTTGCGTATGTTGTGGATACTCCAAGGATTGGAAAATGTTTTATACAATACAACCTGACATTGAGTTTGCAGTCGAGATATAGGTAATAAAGTACAGGAAAGGAGAGATAGTCACACAACCAGTTTTTATCTTAATGAACTAACAAGCCTTTACACTCAAGGCGTTTTCATTATGCCTGCTAACGAGATTAGTAATATTGAATCATGTCATCTACACAAACAGTTAAAATTTAGGTTTTATAAGATTATAACTGACTAGAATAGTATCTAATGCTTCACCAACTTTCCAGTAGGTCTACCAGCATTTCTAACATACTATCATAATATTACCACTTTACGATGTAGGTCGGAGGTCGTCGACGGCGGCGAGGAAGTGAGGCTTTTGCCAGTCGTTGCAAAAGTATCGCCAACAAATTTTGTACTTAATCTTTTTTTTATTTATCATCATTTAACTTTATCATTGTTTTAGATGTTTTTGTAAACAATATAATTTCAATTAATTGAAATTTTATATAATGTCTTGGGCAATAATTTACATTAATTAAATAGCTCAATTAAGCCGACTTAATGATGATAACCTAAATACCTTATAGAGTCAATTACGCTGCAATAAAATATGTCAGTGTCTCATACTATACAAACGTTAGACTAAAATGTACGAGAGATATTGAGAGGTCGAATATTTTTGGTAATTTCCAAAAATGGTATTAAAAATAGTTTGATTTCGACCTATAACCGTTTCGAAACTACATAGAACCTTTTTAAATAGATCGTATGGTCTACATCATATTGTGTTATTATAATATCTATAAATATCAATGATAATAATAATGACTACAACTAAATCAAGGAAACAGAACCGTTCTTTGTGTCGGATTCTGACCTGGCTTGTGGAAATAATGCTCATAATTCATAATTTTTATGCTCATAATGCATTTGACCGAATCGTAACTCGAATAGAGTATATTTTTCTAGCATTTCAATTCATTGCGCTATTCAAGTATTGTTTTAGTTGAAAAGCATAATTTCTAATTTTCAACCAGATTTATGTAGAAATTGTTGCGATTTACATGACTCATTTTTCAACCACAAAGCATCAATTGATTTGTTTACAGTTTACTTCTGTGAAAAATTGCGTCAACAACAAAGAAAAAGATTGTCCACTTTCACGTCACCGTGCTTGTATAAAGTTCTTCGGACTATCTATCCTCACATTTCATAATACCCGATTGATGCGTTATTAAGTGTAAATTTATTGATGTGAATAAGTTGAATACCACGTGGATTTCTACCTTTAATAACCATTATCAAAGTAAAATTATCGAAAATTTTGTAGGTATTATGTTGCCACCTTGATTACACTACCTGTGGCTGCATTGAGGTCTTTCCGCGTGTGTTTTTTTGGGCACGAGGGGCATACCAGCAAGTGCTGCGTAGACTGCGTTGAAGCACCGCGCATTGCAGTCATATTAGGTGGATTAGTATCCTTGGACCCTCATTTACACATATTGTGTCTGCAGCGTTTCCATAAGGATCACAGAAGCCAGCATCTTGGCGGTTGTTGTTCATGAAAAGACAACTCCAGTAGAAGCACGATTTGCATTTCGAATTTTCCTTTGCGTTGCCTTTTTTGTCCTATGGATTTCGACACAAATAATATACAAATGATTTCTTAATAACTCTTTCATTCTGTGTAATTGCTCTACATGACAGTTTTTTTAATTGAACTGATAAGAATGCTGATTATCTGAGCATATCGCATATGTATGTGTAATTATTATTAGCTGTAACCTTTTATTAACCGGATTACGGATGTCGTAAAGGAACAATTAAAGTCCTATTTAGAA